CATTTAAAAAAATTAATGTGACCTTGACCTGACCTTCGCTACGCAACCCAAGGTCAAACTGATGTGATCAGTAAATACATCTTTTTAAACGCCACAACTTTTGTCTGAAACATTTTTTTGTAAAACTTATATTTTTCCTGATATTCGGGCGTCCCGGTACTTTCCGAACACCCTGTATATTTTATTCTTATTATTCTTATATATTTTATTTCTATAGCCATACCTTTGCGAATCCGATTGCTCGTTTATGTTAAGCAACTCGAGCACCGTCCTCTCCACCTTGACAAACATCCATTCTTTCCACGTGTAAGCGATGTTCCCGAAGGATAAGAGCTTCTGCAAACATCGCACTGCCTGCGTCCGTAGCACAAAGAGCGGATCGCCAATGTAGCCGAGTACGCTGTCCAGCATCATCGTGATCTCGTCGAAAGCGTTCGCGCTCCAGGAGAAGTCCGGGTCGATCCGTACGATGCTGCAGATACACCACATGTAGTCTACGTGCATGAGCACTCCACAGTTTCGTTTGTGAATGCGCTTATAAAAGGCCGACAATGTCTCAATGATCGTCCTCGGCGATATCTCCTCGGCGTAATGATATTTCATCGCGTACTCAAAGAAAAACGGCAGAAGATTCAGCAATTTGCGCGACGATTCCTCGTCCTTGTGATTCCCTTGACAAACTTTTAACAGAAACTTCAGCGGCGTATTTGCATACTCTCGTTGGATCTCACTATGGTCGTATCCAGAGAACGACTCCAAGATCGTCAGAGATATTCTCAGGTCCACGTGGCTCTTGCAATCTTGCTGTTTGAGCAAGTTTTTCATTGTCTTCGTCTGCAGCGCGGATTTGTTCTTACCAATGTGCAACGCGCAGAAAGACGCCAAGGCCTCGATCACCCATAGACGGATCATGCCTTCGCGAGAAGGACCAGACGTCGGTAGGGGTGAGGTATCCGAATTAGCGACGGAACGTCTGTGTCTTTGATAAGTACCAGGTTCTTCGTAATAATCGGAGTTACACCGATAATCGGCTATGTTGGTGTCATTGACGTTTAACAAGTTGAAGATTTTCTTCAACATGTTCACTGTAGTTGCGGAGACGATTATTTTAGCGATATTCGCGTCGTACGTACCTCCGTAAAGCATGCTCAATGCCTTGATCACGCTCAATAAGTACAAAGTCTTGTGCTTTGAGCTAATGTTCGCTAAGATTTGGAAACTACTCGCCAAGTACTTCTCCAGCGTACCGACCAACGGACCATCAGCGATATCCTCCGTCAGGCTGCCTAGTTGCATCAGAGCAGATAACAATCGAGCCAAGAGCGCGAGCTTCATCAACACGACATAGACCTCATCGTTAGAGGTTTCCTCTTGAAGAAAATCGTTCAGTCGTTGCTTCAGAAACCTCAGCGTTTCCTGCACGTAAGAGACAGGACCAGGAATTGTTTTGGAGTTCGTTTCAACGTGCTCGTGCTTCGTACACGCCAACAAATCCGCTTTCAAAGCCAAAGACGAGTAACACAGTCGTAAGAAATCTGTCTGATGAATGTCCCACGGCACAGATACGGTTTTGCGCGCTTCTTCGTGGTTTTGTAAACATTTCGGGTCTCCAAAGTCCGGCAAAAAGTCTGTTCTAATATTCTGTCGGCAACGAGAACTCAGGACGAGATTCACAGAAAGAAAGCAGATATCATCGATAGGCAGTCGAGCTGCCAGCTTTTGCCAAGGTGCATTCAGTAACCATTCCAAGAGGCGTGTTCTGTCACAGATTGGCGTTGAAGAGGGCGACGGATCGAGGACCGACGCGGATGCGTCCTCCGGCAAGGAAACGCGTCTACACAGCAACAGCAACGTTCGCACGCTCTTCGGCGTCCAACGGATCACTTTGGTCAGATACAATCTGAACAAGGCGTTCGCATTCGGCATTCTATTGTGCCTTATGAAACAACGAACCAACGCGTGGGTCGATTCCTCGTTCTGGTTTGCTCCCAAAGATCTTAAATGATATCTTTTCTGTAAATCTTTATCTAAATTCTATTTAGACAACGTTAGTTATTTTTTTGAAAAAAAATAAGCAGGACAAAATAATGAATTTATAGGAACTTAAAAATGCTAGGTTTATTAGAAATAACGAATGTAATATAAGAAATTGTAGTACAAAAAATTTTAGAGATATTAAAATCATCTTATTTTTAATATTTCTGCTCTAAAACATAAAAATTAGTCGTTAACAAGACAGAAAATCCACGTACCTCAGTAACATGTCCCAGATCTTGCTCCAATGAATTGTGGCGTCCTGCACCTCTCCAGTGGATATTTCGTTCTCCATAAGAACAGTGGCTAATCTGTACAAATTGTCCATAGATTCAGCTGAATCGGTTGTTCGTGGTAAAGACTGAGCGAACTCTGTCAAGTATTGTAATAAAGGCGCAAGTTCCTGCGACTTTAAGCACTGCGGATACTTCTTCAAAGTTTCTGTCAAGACTTTTATCCAGGACCATACTTCTTCAGGACTGCTTTCTATTATCAACTCAGCAATGTTCTCTATCCTGTTGATTATCCGCCTGCGTTTGGTCGGTTGGAAAGATAAGCTGTTGTAACTCGTGTCGAGGGAACAAGTGATATTGTTCACGTTATCTATTATCTGCTTCACAACTGAGGATCATACACATCTATGATATTGATAACAATAATATCAAAAATATACGCAAAATATATTATTAGGCAATGAGCTGCAAAGAAATACCTTCGCTGGCAAATTGGACAAAACCTCGCCACTGTACATCTAATTTGCAGTTTTCCTGGGTAAGCAAGCACATTCTTTCCAGTAAGTCCTTCCATTTTCTCCAGTCATAAGCATAAGCACCATCATCGCACTTAGAAATACCTTCTGGATGATGAATCTGCAGGAAAATCAGCAGCAACCTATATTTCTCCTCGGAGCCATTCAAATGTAGCACATCCATTAATATGGTCTCACTAAACTTGCACAATGTAATTCTGGATTCTGTCGCGATTTGTCTACACATACTATTAGCAAGTTTGTAAAAAGACTCAATCAACTGTTCATCGTTTGTTTTCACATCCTCAAAGATCTCCTCTAAAAGATTAAACAATACTATTATTCTCTCTCTTCAATTATTTTTGAGTAATATAAAACAATGTAAAAACAAGAGACAATTCAAAAAAACAGATACTATACTCTACCTAGAAACAACAGAGAATCTTTTACATCTGCAAGCAAGTTAGCATGTGGGAAGGAATATTCCACAATCATCTGCAATGCATCCAATACAATATGTTTTTTGAGATATTTTCTTTTATACAACTTCTTGCAAACCACCAGCAATTCTCTCCATCGTTTTGCAGTGATATCACTGAAACTTATATTCTTAGGCAATATGTATTTGACCAGTATTCCCAAATATGTATCCTGATAGTGTGCATAATGTTCTGAGTCTAGTATTTGCAATATCAAAGGGACTATCTCGTCACTTTTCAAAAACTTGGTAGATTTCTCATGAGATTGCCTGACAGTATTGATGACTAGACTACTGACAGCCTGTCTCTCATTGTTCTTGATGCTTGTCTCCTTACCAGGTCTTTCAGCTTCCTAGATTTTTTATTCAAACAGATCATCTCAGTTAGAATATCGAATTAATTATGTAAATTACATGTTTCTTGTAGATTTTAACTTACGCTAAGAGCTAGCTTGTGAGCAGTATGCATAATATAACACCAATTGACAAGTCTACAAGTTTTTTGTTCTGTATGTTGGTCTATCTCCTTAAGGGCATCTTCATTTTGATATATTTCTAACAGTTCTGATACACATTTCTGAAAGAATTTTTATGAAGAAACAAATATAGTTAACTTAATAAAGTATTACAAGAGAATGTAACTGACTTTTTAATGTATAAAACATCTATAAGATACAGTCAATTATATCTTTTTCAATTTTATTTTTTAATAAATTTTTCTCAATAAAAACTTAATCTAACATTATTTTCCTCAATTTTATGATTATAAATGTACATGCTTAAAAATAGTAATTAATCACATTACATAATCATAGTAAAAGCAATTACTTTTTGTTCCGTCACTTTCACGCTGTCACCATAGCCTAAAATTTCACGTATTCTTTCCGATATTCGTGACATATTCGCAATTATGCCTTAGCAAACACGTCAATATTGGCACTTTCACAGGAAAACGTAATTTCAACAATTCATCAAACAAAAAATAAAGTATCGTACAATTTACGACAATAAACTATACATACAGTCCGGAATAACTAAACCTAACAAGCATTTAATCGCTCTACATATGCCGCCAAAAGATATTAACCATTGTAGTGATAAATATTAGTCGAATATACGATGTGGCGCATGCGTGAACACGACTCAGGTTCAGGTTCATTTGGTTTTTGCATATAATGCCGGTCAGAGTGGAGTCCCATGGCACGTATTTTTGCATAACGCGTAACCGCATAACCAATCACATCTTTCTATTCTTTTAGAAATTCCAACAGAAATACTAAACGTCACAATTTATTAGTTACGCGCTTACGCGATACGCGGAAGATACATGTCATGGGACTTCATCCTCAAAAGTACGAACAACGTGAACAACGTGACGTCCAAACATTTCAATTCAAAATATTAGTTCCAACAATTTCGCTATGCGTCGCCACTGATAACAGCGTGTAACGTCCGGATTTATTTTGAAACACTAATAATATATTAATATAGATCGGAGGCCGACATGTCTGATTTCAGACATCACTAGATATTTTATCCCTATGTTACTAGACATAAGTACGTGCTCATATGTATATTCGCGCACGTTAAATATTATAATTAAAATTATAATGCTAAATACTGCGTATTGTTAAAGAGTCTTAAGGCTCGTCTACAATTTCTGTAAGAATATGGCTGTAAGGCTATAAGATGCGAAATGAATTATTTTTATTCGCTGACAGCTCACGTTACAGGCGCCAACTCGGCGCATCACTGTGATTGGTCCATTGAAAGTCGGCAGTCGTAGTTGGCAGTCGGATCGGCCTGTGCAGTCGGTAGTCTGATACGAGTTTTACAGCCATATTCTTACAGCTATTGTAGACGAACCTTTATAGCATGTCCGACTGGCTCTGGGTTAACCTACTCTGGATTATTCAGTCTGCGTTTATTGATCGAACAAGTATTTATGAGCTTTATGATTAGCTAGTAAAGATTTATGACGTCATTAATCGCTCTCGGAGCGATTAACCCAGGGCCACTCGACACACTGGGTGTTTACGATAAGTTGTTGGATTGGAAATCCGACTGAACAGTGGTACTCAATCGACTCATTTCAAAAAATTCCCTAGCTTAATCAGATTTTAGTAAAAGCTGTCTCAGCAGTAATCGGATTAGCTTCATAGCGACGTGGTACTTTGTCCTCAAGAGAAATAAAAAGATAAAAGTCGGTAGGTACGTAATTATTATTCTAATGATTAGCGCGTATCATTTTCCTTATATATCAATATATGAATAAATGATCTGTTACACTTTTACTGATATTAAATTAATGAAAAGAAGTATTAGTAATCTCATGGTAAACATTAACCTATAATAATATTTAAACCTATATAATAGTCGATTGACCATGTTACGATTGGATACAGATTGTAATGATTGGTCCGACCTGATAATTCACTAGATAATTCTTTGCATCGGTTGGTTGTGTCCAATCGTATCGTGGTCAATCGGGACGCTCCCTTTCTGAACACAACTAATTTATCGACAGAGCATTGTTCACTTCTCGTGAGATTGGTGAAAGGCCAACGTGACGGGCCAGTATCCAATGAGAGAGAGATACTTTTCGTGAGACAAATAATCAGTAAACAACAAATAATATAAGTTTTTATAGTTTATAACAAATATGATAGGAGTGCATATATTATTTAAAATAGTTTATAAAAGTTTCTGTAAAAATTAAAGTAAAAAGTTTAACAAGAAGAAAGTAAAAAGAAGGAAAAGTATCATCTTATCCTTAACGGAGACTAACATTTATATTTGTAAGAAAGAAGAAAAAGAAGAAGAAACAATATGATGGACGCTCGAAGACGCGAAAGAGAGTTAATAGGATTACGTGGGGTTCCTGAAGCTTGGAGCAAATCTCCTACGCGAATAGAATAGTATGTATTTTTATTTAAATATTTTGTTACATCAAATCGTGTTACTCTAACCTAGCCTGGGGATATTTAGGATACATGGTTGCTCTTGATATTGACAAAAGCACATTGATTCAACATATTCTTATTTTTAAACAAAGATTTTAAATATATTTTGATATTCGGGAGAAGTATTTGAAACAATGATCAAATTCAACCTAATCTAGGTTTAGAGGTTATATGTAAGATGTACAAATGTATGTGCAACAGTTTATTTATCAAAAGATTAAATGTTCTTTCATTTAGCTCAGACGAAGAGGACGAAGATCTAAATAAACACAATGGTAATATTTCACCAAAGGATGGCAAGAGGAAGAAACATGATATGAAAAAGAAGGTATCAGAGATTAACTTCATATCTAATCTTATATCATACAATATCTACAAATAATCAACTTGAAAGAGATATATGTTCATTTATATAAAAAAACGCTGATAATACATTAATAAATGCATTTTCAGAAAAATAAAAAATTGAAGAAGGAAAAGAAGGAGAAGAAAGTAAGGAGAGAGAAGAAAGAGAAGAAGAGGAAGAAGAAGAAGAAGAAAGCAAAGAAAGACACAGATAGTAGCTCTGATGATAGCAGTAGCAGTGGCGATGAAGAAGTCTGGATAGAGAAGACCGCTATTACCAACAAGCCGAAACCCAGGAGAGGCTCGAGCTCGGATGACAGCGGGGACGACGATGTGGTTGGGCCTGCACCTAAGCCACACGTGACACTATCCGCGAAAGACTTCGGCAAAGCATTATTGCCAGGTGAAGGTGCGGCAATGGCGGCCTACGTGGCCGAGGGTAAGCGTATACCCAGAAGAGGTGAAATTGGCTTGACTTCAGAGGAGATTGCCTCATACGAATCTGTCGGCTACGTCATGAGCGGCAGCAGGTAAGCTATAGAAAATTACGTCGCAGATTGTAACAATCCGGTAATATATGCCAAATTTCATCAATGCAGTATCATTTCCTAGCATATCCAGTAAACATCAACTGACAGTAACACTACATCAGTGTTATAATTTCCCACTCAACAATACAAGTGTTATTTAACACTTAGATTCTATTGCATTTACATTGTTGAGTAGGAAATTATAACATTAACATAATATTAATATAACATTGTGCTACTTTAAAGGCATCGGCGCATGGAAGCTGTTCGTATCCGTAAGGAGAACCAGATTTATTCTGCTGACGAGAAACGTGCCCTGGCGATGTTCAGCAAGGAGGAACGGCAAAAACGAGAGAATCGTATTTTGGGACAGTTCAGAGAAATGGTTAATCAGAAACTGGCACAGGAGCAGAAGAATAAGTGAGGATTTTGTTGCTTGTATAAATACGGATTCCTGTTCTTTGTTGTATATAAGTGAAAAGTACAATTTTGTATTTATTATAAACATTATGTAAATATAATTTAATCAAATTAGTTGTAATATACCTATGTAGACTACTGAGAATAATGAAATAATTTTGCCAATTGTAACCTTTATTTGTAATAAAGAGTTTAAGAATCACTACATTGTGTATTAAAAAAAAAAGAATGATAAAACTATAGCAATAGAGTAATTCCTTTTCCTTTATTCAGGACTTCTGCTTACTTTCCCATTCCGTCCATCCTCCACTATAATTATATACACTGTAAAATAAATAAATATTTCAATCACAAGTGTTTTGGTGTCTATAATATTGTTTTAAAAAAGTTCTATTTTTTATACTTGTCATATCCCAATTTTTGCACCTCTCCCTGTACCATTCTACTCCTCTTGCCAGACATACAGCTAAATATAATTTTTGTGTGTTTGGTAGGCTTAGGCTTGCCATATCTTTCCACAAAATCCTCTTCTGACAAAATTTGCAATGTGCTTGAAACACTGCCCACTAAATAAGCATAGATTATTTTATTATCATTGCATGTCATCGATATGTTATTATATAATTGCTAATATATATGTCATATATTATTAGTACTGATATGTATTATCATCTAATATCATTTGAAAGAAATTCGACAATGGACTTTTGACAATTTATAGATACAATACAAAATTCTTACTTGGTACATGAATACTGCCCGGTAATTTGCCAGTCTTGTTTATCTCAGCTTGTTCCCTCACGTCAATGATTAAAACACTATCGTCCTTTTGCGCTTCCAATAGCTGTTCATAGCTAACATTGAATTTCACATCTTGACTGCTCATGATGGCTGTGGTACTCACTTCTCGAAAAGACAAATTCGAGAAATATAAACTTCGCGTCACTGAAAGGTTATCAACGTCTCAAATATTGCAGTGGGAATGTAACGAAAATCTATCTACACGTAACACGTAAGGCGTATGATACAAATCTACGATTAACGATACAATTTATATTGCCGGATTTTATCGCTAGAAAGAAAATACGTACGATTGCTTATCGAGCGATCAGATATAATTATTGAAGGTTTCCAATAACCTAACGATGTCGATACGTGCTCATTTTTACAAGAAGTGATCAGTGATACGAATTTTTTACAAAAGCGACGTGAAAATCTGGTGTACATTTTGCACAATGGCTATCACCTTTCCAATGATCACTGATATCACGACGATGCGCAATCGTTTAATGCGATAGATAATCGCTTTCTGAAGTCTATTATTGCTAATGTGTAGACAGCCAAGTAAAACGAGAGCAATTGCATTGATATCAATGATCGACGGATATTTTGCATCAAAACATATAGCATCAATATTTCATCTTTCTTCTTTTTCTTCTTCTTTATGATTAAGGGATGGTCAGAAAGAACCTACCCCAAACGCCACTGATCGGAGAATATCTTATCCGAGAACGTCTTAATAAGACGTTTCGAAAGCAGCTGATGTCGCTTATGTTTCAAACAAAAAGAAATGGTGCAGTCGCTCGTTGGAAAGCGTACCTTAAGATTCTGCTCCAGGCAGCTGGTGGCGCCGTCTGACGAGGAATGTGGCAACTAGTTCTTTTTATTTCTCATACACGGAGGAGTGAAGTGTACTAATTTATCGAAAATAATCGCGATTTTCGGCTCGTTCCTTGTGATTTCGCACCGAGTAAGTAACTGAACGAGGAAACACTAGCCTCGGACGAGGTGTCATCGCGATGTATCGTGTTATACCGCGCCGAATACGCGAATTTCATGCGCGCGATTGTACGACCAGTGGCAGATACACCCTGAAGACGACGACGACGACGACGACAACGACGACGACGACGACGACGACGACAAGACGACGACGATGATGATGATGGTGATAATGATGATGATGATGATAACTACGACTGTAACGATAACTACATTACGCTACGATGACTATCACGTGTCCTATTGTTTATTTGTATGAATGCAATCTCGGGAAGCCACGGAATGCTCCAAGTGTGCCAGTAGAATTCAGTAGGAATTTGACGAAATTCGTGATGGTGCAGCCTACATCTCCAAATCTGTATCTTCTACATGTCTTAATATCATCCTTCTAATGTAGGGAATATTCTGTTTCTTTCAGACGTGATACAAGCCACGTAAATGAGGTGACTGCAAAAATGAGCTCGCTACAGCAAGGAAACAGGTTCCTACCATTCTCAAATAATAATCTACAAAGGAAGCAATTGTCCATGCAAGGTAAATTTAGTGAGAACATTATAATGAATTGTACAATACCTAGGTATTATATGCTATTAGTGTTTATTCCAATATCTTTTTCTAGGTGGCCTTCCCCAGAGTTTGAGTGGTAGTGATACCGATGTTTCTACATCTAACGAAAACCTAAGCAATGAAGAAAGGTATGTCATAAGACATACAGCACGACAGGAACCCCAAGGTCAGGAGAATCAACAACAAAGCCCTTCCAGATCTTCCAGTCATAAAGAAAACATACCAAATATTCAGGTATACATAATTTACATATAAATTTTAAAATATATCAAACTGTGTGTGTGTGTGTGTAATTGTATACATTGTTATAATATCTTGTTAAATTAAGATTTTTTCTTACTACATAGGGCAACTTGCATAACAGAAATAGCCTAAAGGACAGCCTGAATGGATCAAACAGGAACAGTTTGAAAGAAAGCTTAAATGGTTCTAACCGCAACAGTTTGAAGGACAGTATCAATGGATCTAATCGGAATAGCTTGAAGGATAATTTGAGCAACCGTACTAGTGTTAGTTCCAACAGGAGCAGCCTAGATGTTTCAACAAGTTCTTATAATACACTGATTATACACAATGCTAATGAGGAGAATACATGGGTACCTTCTACAAGGTGAGTGCTACCTTTAAATAATTTTTTAAAATAAATTCTGATACAGTCAATGATCGTGTTGGCATATGCACAGGCTGACAGGCATAGTGAGAGAACATGGAGATATGGGTTACTTGTACTGTGATGGCAGCGGCAAGGGCCATTCCAACAGTCCTACAATGCAGTCTTTGTCCAATCTACAACATGAAGATTACACCCACGAACAATCCGGCGGCGGAGGCTGTCAAGAAATCACGGATATCCCGGATGATTACCTCAATCAATCTCAGGTGAGATTAATACACCAATTAACAAGTTTCTATAATCAAGCAAATCAGAAAGTGATATTAATTTAATATTTCTACGAATATAATATTGAATAATTGATAATGCTTGTTTTAATACAATATAATTTGAATCATTATATCAAGTCAAAATTAAGCTGTTTAAATTTGTTATTTTGATCCATAATTAGACAAGTAGTTAAGCGCAATTTTTTCTACAGGTTTTGAAGCATCTCGCGAAGGAAGTGAAGGTACCGTCGTACAGCAACAACGGAGGAAGCATAGAGATGAGGATAAGAGACGGCGATAGGGGAAAGCAGAACGACAATGAGTTCGAGGGCAGATCGTCCCCGTCCTACATATCCACGTTGTTACCGTTGAAAAACAAACACAGACTCCTTGGGCCAACGGAGAAATTAACTATATCGAGATCGCAGCCTGATTTGTCGAGAATTAACAAAGCGGACATCGACAACTATAATCTTCGAACGACTTCCCCGCGGTACATACATTTTCCGCATGCTGCACGCGCATTAGCAACCTAGAATATTCGCCGTGATATTTAGTTCTCAGTTGCTGCCTCGGTAACGTCTTTTTCTGCTTCTAATGATATTCTAGAGACAATTATGTGCAGTCTAATCGTCATTAGGGATTCATTTTTGTCTTATTTACATTCGAAACGAAATTGACAGACCATCGAGAAGGTTTCTAAAGTAAAATTTTATTGTGGGTAGACTAGCACTTGGTTCACATTAGACTGAAGCTCGGAGCCACACAATAAGAAGAAGTAGACTGGCACATATATCTCTCTAATAACTCTAACTATTTTGCAGATGAACGTCTAACTGCTTTGTAAACAGAATACATTAACATAGTTATTCCTGTATTTTTCCAGGCCGCAAACCAAGGGACGCGAGGAAGTAGAGAGGGAGACGGGCGAGGTGTGGCCGCCATCGGGTACGATTCAGATGTTGATACAGGAGAACGGCGCATTAAAGCTCGAACTGGAGCGCTGTTACAACAAGGTCGCCAAGTCACAAAAGTTGGAGCAAGAGATAGCGAAGGTACATCGTGCTCATGAGGAGCTCGCGGCGTCGTGCGAGCGACGGGAGAAATTGGAGCGCGCCGCCAGATCGAGGCTGCAGAACGATTGCAAACGGCTGATCGAACTGAATCGCGCATTGAGGGACCAAATCGACCTGCTGTCCGCGCGTACGGACAGCCCGCCGATCGTCGAGTCCATGCGGAAGGAGCTGACGCAACGGGAGTTGCTCATTGGACAGCTCATCACTCAGAGTACGATTCGTTCACATCGCAGATTTTTACGAAGGGTGATTTATGAAATTCTGGCGATCTGCATCTTAGTAATTTTGATTTCTGTTGTAATATTGAGTGAAAGAGAAGTCAGACATTAAAATCGCGAGATCGCGAGGCATGAAACCATCCAAAGTATAAATCTGAAGAACTTCCTCGAGTAATGTTCTCTTTTATAACGATCACGTTGATTTTATTTTTTAGATAAAGAATTGGCGGCTGCGAAGGAGAGGCAGGAAATCGAACTAGCCGCTCAACGAGCTACTCTGCAGGAGCAACGTAAGCACATTGAAATCCTCGATAACGCGTTGAGTAATGCACAACGCAATGTTGTACGGCTTGAGGACGAGGTAAATTTGATGTTGAACTAATTATATACATCACGAATACGTGCGGTCATAGATATCGATTGTAACAGAAGTATTTCTTGCTTGTACGCAGTGTCGCAAGAAACAGGTATACGTGGAGAGAGTGGGTCAGCTTCAGCGAGCCTTGTCTTCACTTCAAGCGTCTAGCGATAGACGAGAAGAAACCGAAAGACAACTGAGGGGTCAACTCGAGAGAGAATTGCGCGAGGGTGGCGGTGCTGGCGGCGCCAACGGCAACGAGCAGACGCCGAACGCAGAAACGATCGCGGACTTCAAACGACGGCTGCGCGAACGGGACGAGAAGATTATGTCGCTTGAGGGTGACGTTGCGAAGTGGGAGCAACGGTACCTCGAGGAGAGCGCGCTGAGACAGGCGGCCATCGACGCAGCTAGTCTCCCGAAGTGAGTCAAGTCTCATTGGCCACGTTCAGCAAAGCAACTTTGCAAAATTGTTGCAAAATTCATGAATCTGATGATGTATGCTTTTGGATTTAGCTAAGATTAAAAGTATACACCAATCAAATTCGAGTTTCACAACAGTTGCAAAGCAGCTTTCTCTGCTCAATGCAACCATTATGTTATAACTCTCTGCGACGTTTGTCTCATTTGTTTTGTCGTGTACGCCGTGTACATCTCATGTTTTTCCTCGAATCAGAGACGCCAAGATCGCCGCTCTGGAGAAGACGAGTCAAGACGCGGAGAAACTGATCGCCGAGGCTCGTTCGGAAAAGATGAGACACATGGACGAGGTGCACGTTGCGCAGAAGAAATTAGCTGATCTGGAATCTAGGTAAAAGATACTTGTTAGCCTCAGTCGAGATAGTCGATTATTTATAGTCATTTTCTGAAAGGGAAGCCGTTAAAAACATTATTTCCTATCTTCTCTGTTTTAACAGGATGAAAGACTTGGAGTCCAAGTTGGCCGAAAGGGACGCTATGATCAGGGTGCTTCAAAAACACACGTACGACAAAGATAGCAGTTGTAGTAGCGGCGTAGGCAGTTACCCCGCTGCACACTCATCTCACTCGAGTACATCGGCAGATCATCATACCGCACTGACGAGCACGTCGGAGCTTGGTAAGCGGAGTCTTAAATTTATCGGTGATTATTTGCGACTGCCTAACATTTCCTGAAAAAAAAAAGAATCATAAACGTTTCGCAAAAATATATTAATACGTTACACTCTTGAAAAATCTATATAAATATTATATTGTTTTGTACATTAATACTTGTTATTTTTTCCCCGAAAGTGAGCAGTGTACTTGGCGGTGGTAGCGGTTACGGCAGTACTGCTTCTTACGGCGTTACCGACAGTTATAAATATAGAAAACAGGGCAGCTTTGAGCAAACTAATAAGAGTCTCGATGATCAACTGAAAGAGCTAGACTCTCAGCTACTTAGCAAGGTAGGCAGAATCACCAAGGTGCAGTGTCACGTATAATCGCACCACATGTCGTTAATGTTAGGTCGGATCGTCACTTCATCGAGTCTCGCCGGCACTTCGCACACCACGATCTGTTATTACTTATATCTATAGATACATGTGATTATCTACAGATATACTTATATATATGCGCTCTGACTTCACTTTGTCGCCTACATTAATATTTGTATTTTCTTTTTTTTATCAATAGAGATACGTTAATTTTCGGATGATCGTATTTTGAGTTCTTTAGCATCTTTTTAATAGTCGCTGCTGAAAATATTACAGATCACACGTTCGAAGGTATTCTTGTGTTGGTGTTATATGACTGGAGTACCTACTGGTGTACTTTTTGAAAGCCTGTTATGAGAGTGGTCGGTATGTACATGCGTTCGACCATACGGGAGGAGATCAAAATTTCAGACAAAAATTTCTGTTCTTTTTGTTCTTATTGAACGAGAAAATCGGGATGGTCGAACGAGAAATGTTACACACCGACTGTTCTTCGATTGGAGTTACTTGATTAACGTTTAGTTGCATAACATTGTGTGTGATTTTTAACATAGTCTAATATATTTTTTTTTCTTTTCTTTCATTCATCGAGAATTACGTTTTAGTTTTAATGACGCGTGTTACTCTTACACAAGCGTGTGTGCCATAAATACCTTTTTTTCTTTTTTTATATCTCAATTCTCTCAGCGATGTTGTGTGCCACTCCTTTGTCAAGATATAGAAGACAAAGTAAATAACAAAATAGATCTCACGTTTTGATTAATCCATCTCTTATATTTTTTTCTAATTTCTCTCCAAAGATCACCAACAGGACTAATCCCCTTCCTCCTGTTCCTAAAGTGTTCCTGAATGTGCATGTGCTGGTTTTTTTACGGCGAGCACTAACCCCTTTTCCAGGTCCCGGCCTTTCCTCTCTTGCCAACCCGTACGTTCTCTTCTCTTGTTTCAGCGGGCACTTTGCTGTTTTCCAGGATTCTCTAATCCAGGCACTGCGTCGCGAAAAGGAAAAATACCCAAGCCACTACTGGCGGGTGTAGATAGCACAGGTACCTCGAGCACCGCCTCGAGCAAGAGCCGACTATTAGACGACTCGTCCGGTACAGAGCACGCCGTGGTGTCGCCGAGCATAATCGAGTTGGCCAGTGCGGCGGTTAGGCTGAAGGGCACGATCACGAGGCTGTCGGACGGCAAGCAAGCGGGCGAGGACATGATGCTGCTAGAGAAGCAGGGCAGGAGCTCGCAGCGACAGCGGATGCAGGAGGGTGAGCCGCGTCGCGCAGGTAGTCTGCCGCCCAGCTCGTTACCGCGACCACCGCGGACGCTCAAGTCCACGGCGAACTCGCGCTACTGCCGGCTGAGCGACACGGAGACGCGCAAGAAATCCGACCCCGGGCCGGTAAGTCTGGACTCTTCGGCCGCGGCCGCCATGACGATGACCACGACGACGATGAGCGGCGGCGCCAAGGCTGCACGCGATTCCACCAATTGTAGCAGCATCGAGTACGGCAGATTCGACGCGAAGGCGTCGCGCAAGAAGAAATCAACGATGACCGCGACGGCGTCGGCGGGGAGTGTGGTGGAGAGCTTCGTGACGAACAACTCCTTGAAGAAATCCTCGCCCGTTGCGACGACGACGACGACGACGACGACGACGGCGGTGGCGACGAGCGGTGCTGGTTGTAGCGGCAGCGGCGGTGGTCACGAGTACGAGAGGCTGCAGTCAGACAACGTCACGACCACGAGCCGCAAGAAATCCGTTACCGGCAACGGTAACAACGCAGAAATGGTGAAACACAGAGAGCTCCAGAGTCGCTCGTTCATACCGCCGCCGTCGCGTCGCATCGGCGAGTACGGTCGCTTGAGCGACGGCGACTCCCCGTCGTCGTCGTCCATGGTGAAAGTCGGCACGCTGAGGAAAGCCGGACAGGTTGTGGGCGGTGGGTCTTCGCGGGCACAGAGCACCGGCAGCACGGTGAGCAGCAAGAGCGGCGGTGCCCGCGACTCCGGCGGCACCGCCAGCAGCGAGGCCTCCACCGCCTCCTTGCCGCCGGTGAAGGCGAGATCGATACCGCGTCCCAGCAACTATCGCATTCAGTTCTGAAAATTCGGGTCGCGCGAGCAGCGCATACAACAAGTATACAGGCACGTCCGTGAGAACTCGCGACGATAACCGTTTTCGGATCGAGTTCCTGGGTTGGTCTGTCGTCTCGGCTACGTCTCGTACGTCGTGCGTACGATCACACACATTACATCCCGCGTAGTTCAGGAATGGCCATAAGCAACCAAGTTGTCGCGATCGCAAGCGTCGATCGCAGGCCATAGCAAAACGGCAAACGGCCAAACATAAAGCCACGGATTTGTAATTAACGTAGCGATAGTGTATGACCTAGTCATTACCAAAGTAACTCCCGGGAAGGGTGTAGGGAAAGAAGAATTGTCTTCCTCGCGTTTCCGCGACGAACGTGACAACTACGGCGGCCTTTTAACGACGAGGTGAGACGGTATATCGCTCTCCTCGTGTACGAAGTGCCTTTTTCGCACGTGTGGTTCTCGCCTCGCGCGCGATCTTCACGAACCTTGTTCTTGCAGAGAAAGGATATGCACGTCTTCTTTTTTAACAAATGTGTATATACATATATATATGGTGTGTGTGTGTATGTGTGTGTGTGTGTGTATATACACACGCATGAAAAAGTAAGAAAAGCTGGTGTAGAAAATTTTGCGAAGGGAAAAAAGGGGACAAAAGTCCGTCGCTAGTCTCTGTACAAGTAATTGTTTCTTCCCAATCGCGCAAAATGCCTTCAAGAGCTCCGAATTGGTAATTAGACCTAGGTTCCGATAAGACTGAACAACTGGATACTGTGACGTTGCACTTCATCTATTATCCTCGCAATCTATTTCCGTGCTCGCGTGTTCCTGTTCTCCTTTTCTGTCTCGTCTCTTCTCTTTTCCGTCGATGCAGAAACACGGTATTACGCGCACACGTTCTTCTCGATGGGATGATACTTCTTTTCGTGTAGCTTTATCGTACGATGTAATCCTTTCCTAGAATTCACTTAGGTATGTTACTCTGTAGCCTGTGCGTTATTCGTATCTCCCTTTTTTTTTTATCGGGCTCTTTAGCGTTATTTTCGTTAGAGTTCTTGTAGGCATTCGTGTAGAAACTACGACGCAAACAGAGAACGCCAAAGTACGGAACTATTGTACGCGCGGACGCGCTTCGTTTTATATATATATATATATATATATATATATATATATATATATATATATATATATATCTGTCTATCAAATGTCTCTTAATATAATTTACTGTATTTATTCGCGTTATATATTTTGGAATTAGCCGTCTAATATTATTATACACACGCGTATGCGCTTAATGTTGATAGTTCTGTTTTCCCTGGTATATGACGATTTCTACATACGGCGCGCGGCCAATTGAATTTCTCTCTCTTTCGAGTTGTAACATATAAGGATATGTCGCGGTAGATCGCGTGATCGCGTGCGTGAATCATTGACAAATGTAGCCGAGGGCAGCTTCGGCCTGCGTGCGTATACCATGAGAAACTTGAAATTGCCGGGAAAGCCCTCGCAAAGCGGAGATGCGTGTTTTGTCCTTCCGTAACGATTTTATACAAATCGCGTCGTAACTCGAAGATCGCTTATTGCTGACACGATGGGTGCGACTTGAGAGATCGGTGATCATGTACTATAGGTGATGATGTTGATAATCTTGCATTCGATTGACGTTAATAATGTGGCTTCTCTCTACATGCAAGAATTACCAAATGTAACGTCACCAAAGAGACAGAGCGTCCCGCGAGACGCTACTTCGTCGAACTACTACGTAGTTAAGCGCCGCGCCACGTATCCAAATATCGTTCCTCATGATATTTTCTTAGGATATTTTCTCCCTCTGGTAGCAGTGCGCTTCCGTCGCTTTCGCGCACGAAAGCGCGACCTCGAGACGAAAGTGTGATCTTGTGAGATTGAAAACTCACGCGCGGCAGAGTGTGCTCGAATATATAAATTTTATATATATATATATATATATATATATATATACATATAATTATACATATGCCGCCAAATCATCGTTTTGCTCTCTATTTTTGATATGGCCGTTCGCTCTAACGACGAGCGTCGTTGTTTGTCGTAAGAATAAAAAAAAGAATCTACACGCGGTCAATAATAATAATCCGTCGTAAGTTTATACTTGATAATGAATATAAAGTCTGTGGTTTCGATAGCTTTACTGTACCGGTACCCAGTAAGCAGAATTTTTTCTCCCGTAGGAGACCTTGTGTAAAAAATCGGTTCCGTCGATTGATGCAGGAGAGAAAGAGAGAGAGCGCGTCCGTAGAACAGTACTCGCGATGTTTGAAACAGGTCGTTGACCGATGTATTATCCTTTTGCGACGTTTTGTACTCGAATGAAGGTATTGCTGGCGAGTTACTCGATGTAAAGAAAAAGGTTTGAAATACAGTCCCTCTTGTAAAGCAAGTCTTGTTCATTTCATCGTCGTGCAAGAGTGTTCGAGATATCTGCGCGACCACACCTCTATCTGTCAATTTATCAATTGATCTATTTGTGTCTTTCATTCTCTATGTAAAAACTATTTATAATTTGAAAGACTACTTCACTCGCAACAAGTATCGCTATCTTGCGATAAAGTAAGTCATGTTATAATAGAGAGACTAAGATTCAGCAGATAGGAATGTTGAGATCTTACTTTGTCATTCGACGTTTAGTCAAAATCAATAATCTGTGTATATTATGCGTATTAACAATCCTGTAAATTGCACGGGATACGATTTACGCTAATGACAAGAAAAGTATTTGCTATTTGCAAGCGTCTCACTCGAGTAAAAAACATTGTCGTTAGCTTCTTTCGTTAGGTTATTGCGCTTATTTACGCCAGCGATCCCTTAATCCTAAACAGTATAAAATATTTTTTAAATATTATTGCTAATACGCGTGCAACAACGTTTTTTTGCATAAGTACGCTTATAATAACACGAAGAATGTTATAATTCGTTCATTAAGAGAATACCTAGGGAGAATATATGTCAATTATAGAGAGAATTATATAATTTAGAATATAATTTATAAAAATAATATATCTCGTATGCGCACTAACTACATTTGTATTATATTATTTGCAGAAATTAATCACGTATTACTATTTACAGCATTACGTTTTCATGCATTAGAAAAATAAATCTGCATGAAATTGAGCGTGTATATATATATGTATATAAGAGGAGATATATATTTATATTATGCTTGAGAACTTTCGTAAAATTTTTATAACGTCTCTACTGTATTGAAGTTCAATGCACTTCGAACTTGAAGATCTCACTTATGATCTGATATTTTTGAAGCACCAGAGTTCCTAAATCTTTTAAATTGAATTCGAACGTCCGGATGACAAACTATATAAAGCTTTCGAATTAAATTTCATTTTAATTAAATAAAATCAACAGATATACATACAATTTCCTTCTCTCTTATTTTTTAATCGTACTTTCGAGCATCATATCGTATTTATAATTCTAAGATTTCGTACATTCAATTTGCATACGAGAAGTTGTAACAGATAACGAAAACTTCCGTCGCTCGAATGAAGAATACGCGGCGATTTATAATAATAATAAAAATATAATTGAAAAATTTCAACAACGAAACAATGAGACATGATGACGAACAAATTTTCGAGATATCTGTGTGTCGAAAGCGAGTGCTCGAGATTGTTTATACTGTTTAGGGTCAAGGATAGCTATCACCAGAGGGATTATCGGCGGAGCGACACGGCTACGCTACTTCGCCGAAGTTCTTGTGGCCGGTATCCTTTGCGTGCTGCTGCGCCGCTATCTGTCCGTTAAGTCTGATCTTGCAGTCATTGCAAATCAGCGTGAACTTCTGCACGTCCGTGAATTGACGACTCGATCTCGCCTCTCGTGCGAGTTCAGCAGCCTCCAATAACATCCTCTCATCATCGGTGGGGAAGATCGTTTGAATACAGCCGCCCTGAAAGAAGCGACGAGTCAGAGAGTGAGTGCGTGAATTTTTGTACGCAGTATCGCGATCAACAAGTCTGTGTATCACACATAATTATTTATAAAATACTTCTCGTTGTAATCTTATCATATTTATCCCGACGAGGAATTGCGTTTCTTCAGAGACTCACATCGAGCGGCTCTAGATAAAGCGGATCATAATGGATCCCGTCGAATATGAGAAAGACTCTCTGAGTGTAATGCTGGTCCTCGCCGAATCTATTGATGATCGCGTTGATACTGTCGATCACCGCGATTTCCAAGCCGTAAAACTTGGACAGAATCGACAGCTCGATGGCGCCGCCCCAAGAGTCGGGCTTGAGGATCCACTTGCAGTACTCGGCGTTGGGTCTACCCAGAAATGCCTCCGAATATTCCTCTGGGTCAGCCGCCACTGCGTTAGCTATGATTTCTCTCATGAAGCTGGCACAACTGGTATCGACTTTTCCTGAAAACATACACACAGCTGCAACTACTATTACCTAACGTATAGCTCTATATTTTTTGAGTATAATCCCTGTTGTCTGGCTAACTCTTGGCCTCCTTGAGCATCTTGATTTTCGTTGTATCTTCTCGCGCTTGCTTACCATTCAGGACGTAGCCTACACTAGTGAAGAGGCAGGAATTATCAGCAGGCACAACTTTCTTCATCAGAACACCAGGAGCATCCATGAAGCTCTCTTGATCGACTATGTGTGATCGGCTATAATCGTCGAATCTTTGCTCCTCTCCATTGAACATAATCTGCACATGAAGACAATGAATTTAAAATGATTATAAATAAACAATTTCTCTCACATTTCAGAGTAATGAAATTGAATAAAATATTTAATGAAATTGGTCTTAGCTTAACAAAACTGAACTTTTATTTATTGTTCGACAAAATTCATTTTACTAATTATTTCATTCAACATCACTCTTGGTAAAAATTATATTGTGAGAACATTCACATTCTCATTTAGATGAAACAGAACATGATTGACACGATGTTCTTTTAATTATGACTAGTATACTTATTTAATCTTCTCATTGTACAATTTAACATTACACAATGCTTGTCTAAAGCACTATTTACTGCTAAAATAATATTAAAAGACTATTGAGAACTGCATGAAGACTATATAAAATAAAGTTGCAGTATTCTTCACTGGTATCATCAATTTAAAGTCTGAGACTTAAGGCTGATTGTTTCAACTTCTTGGTAAATTAACAGTTAAGTCATGTGTCTGTCTTTGTCCAATTTAAAGAAAAAACAAAGACAGACATATGATTTAATTGTCAGGTAGCTTACCAAGAGGTCGGAACAATCAGCCCTTAGGCATATATTGATGGTTGTTACTTGAAACTTGTTTCAACTAAGGTACTCAGATTTGAATTTCTAGATATGAATTTTTCAGTTGAATTACAATTACAAATATAATATCACATATATTATATAATTCAACTAAAAGATTTAGATCTAACTCTAGAGCCTATATTAACAGTTGTTATTTGAAACTTGTCTCATGTGAGATATTTAAATTTGAATTTAAAGCTAGATTTGAGCTTTTTACTTAAATCATATAATATATAATATATTATATATTTGTATATTCAACAATTCAGCTAAAAACTTTATTTTTAAATTCAAATCTGAATATTCCACATGAAGCAAGTTTCTAGTAACAACTATTAATACAGATCTAAATTTCAATGAAATTTCAACAAATTCTGAAAATTTTATGACAAATTTCAAATAATAACTATTAATATACAAACTTTAAAATCATGTAAACAATCAAATGACAGTGACCTTGCTCTCCTTCTCCACTTTGTTAACACACATTTAAATTCACTTTACAACACCAAAACATCAAATATTAAGGAGTATACGAGAACATCGTGTAAACTACCAGATTGTACAAACATGATAACTTGCGGATGAAAACGGACCCGCTTCTCCTCGACAATCAGAGTGTCCCCAGAGACAATGCCGATGCGGTCGATGGTAATATCGGTGTCCAGGTTGATGGGTTTCGGTGGGAAGCCGACGAGCACCTGAAGAGCGGTAACAGGCACTCCAGTGAGTTCTGCAAGCTTCGTCTTCAGTTGGAACGTCTTGTCCTGAGGGGTAAGACCATTGACGACCTTTTGACCTGACTTTGTTTTCACCCGAAGCACAAAACCTGCCATTGCGACCTAACAAGATCTTGCACGATTTGTGGAGTTAGCGTCAATCAGCTGTTCCGTGCACCCCACGGGACCCTAGTCCTCCTCCACCACCACGTCGTCGTCGTCGTCGACGTTGTCGTGCTCCTCGTCGTCACAGCTGAACGATCAATCATGAGCACTCACAAAGGTACATTGTTGACGCGATAACCGCGGTAGCGCCAGCGATAACTAACAGCGGGTCATCGTACGAGCGGCCGTAAACGGGACAGAATATGGTCGGGTGACTATGTCTTTCTCTTTCTCTCTCTCTCTTTCAATATCTAGTGAAGGGAGATTCTTTTGACGTGCAATGAGCTCGCAGACGTGATAGGCGACGAGCGATGAGCGATATCCAATGAGAACTCTCATTTCTATTTAAAGCAGAGCTCTCGTTGGATATCGCTCATCGCTAATCGCATTTAATGGCTCTCGCATACTGGACGCGATTGGCGATGAGCGATGGGCGATATCCAATAAGAGCTTTGCTTTAAATAAAATAAGGGCCCGTATTCTGAGTTCTCTTTTAACGATAAATGAGCCTCTAACGGAGCGGAAATTTTCAGCGGAACGGAACATGCGGAGTTAGCACGACCAATCACAGCCGTTCCGCTTTTCTTCCAACGCTTTTTCTATTTTCCTTATGTCCCATGGAATGGAATACGCGGAAGCGGATCACGCGGAATAATATAAAAAGTAGATTTTTTAATGTTATTTCTCACGTTTTTAATAATTTTAATATTTTATACAAATGATATAATATATGCTAAATTAATAAAGAATAAAATTAATTTCTCAGTAAAATACTTTTTATGAAAATATGCAACTATTTTACGATTAGCTAATGGCTCCTGCACACAGGATGCGGTAATGCTTGCCGCGCGGCGGAAGTTCACGCGACAGCCAATCAATATGCTGCTTTCCGTAATAACCTTCTAGCTCTTACGGAAAAACAACATATTGATTGGCTGTCGCGCGGACTTCCGCCGCGCGGCAGGCATTACCTATGTGCAGAAGTCATAAAACATAATTCCGCTGCCGCGTTTACCGCTTCATGGGACAGAAGGAAAAATACATCAGCGGAATTGCGGTGATATATTATGTAGTATAATAAAGTGAGATTTATTGTAATTAATTATGGAAAAAATATTATGTGATTTTTATCGACTGTTAATTAAACATATAAACATATTCACATATTATACATAATTGTTTATTACAATTATCAAAATATTAACATTTTATTATTTACGATCCCTCCACTCATCATTTCTAAACGAAATAATAAAGAATGTCGAAAAAATATATATATAATAAATGAATAAGAAGCAAATGAGATATGTAAGATATATTGAGGTTATCCGAGACTATCTTTATTCTTTCCGCAAAATTGCAGCGGTAAGATTATAGCGAAACGGCACAAAAAAGAGCGGAACGGCTGTGATTGGTCGTACTGGTTCTGCGCGTTCCGTTCCGCAGAGAATTTCCGCCCCATGGGACGGAGCCCTAAGGGTGGAGTCCCATGGAGCGTATCGTGCGTATCGCGGATTGCGCGTATCGAACATTTGACCAATCGCAGACGTTCCGCTGTTTTTGATACGTGGAGTTTCATTCCCATTGTCCCATGGAGCGGAATTCGCGTAAGCGTATTAGGCGGATAGCCAATCACGAGACGATTTCTTTATTTCCTTCTCCTAAACAGTTTTGTGATTGACGAACTGCCGATCCTCTTACAATAATTCCGCTCCATGGGACCATAGGAACAAAACTCTCGCGTACCAAAAACAGCGAATAGTCTGACATTGGATCGTAGTAAAGAGCAAGCGGAAAAATATTCTGTATGTATAATTAAAATGAATTTTATTAAATTTATTAATTTATTCAATATAATTAAATAAAATTTTACAATTTGCTTAACAGGTGCAGAATGAAATCGGAAACGATATTGCTATTAATTGTGTTATTAATAATATATCTATATATATATATATATATATATATATATATATATATATATATACACGTAAATAATGTGTATTATACAGGGTTGAGTAAGTTAGATTTTTTAAAACTAATTTAAGTTAAAAGTTAATGACCTAAAAATTAACTAAGTTTATGTTAAAAGTTCTTAAACTTTTTAACTTAATTTTATCTGATTAACTTGTCAAACTCTTGTATTACAAGTGACTTTTGTTAAGTTGCAATAAAATAAAAAGTCAAATTTTAAACCAGGAAGAATTATTTATATTTGTAACAGAATTGAATACTATTACAAATAATTATTATCCTTAAAATATTTAAGTATTAAATAATTAAATATTTAATAATTACTTATAAATGCAGCATTGTTGTCATCAACGTGTATCACATGTTTTTCATCATTAAAATGTTGGAAACATTGTCCGTCTGGACCAAGCTCAAGGCCTTAAAGGCCAAATCTCACTAGCAATTGACGATTGACGATTGAAGATTAGATTTTGACGAATCAACGAGCTTCAACTTTGGCTTGCTTTGTTCCAATTGATCAAGTTCCAATCTTCAATCGTCAATCATCAATCACCAATCGCTAGTGTGATTTGGTCTTAAAGTCGTGTCGCATTACGGATTGGAGATAAAGGTTTGCGGATTGAAAATTGGAACTCGACTAATTGGAGCCAAGCAGGCCAAGACCAAAGTACATTGATTCGTCGAAATCTAATCTTCAATTCGTAATCCTCAATTCCCAATAGTGTGACACAGGCTTATGTCCCGATCTACAATAGGTAGTAAGCTTTAAGCCTTAAGAATTTGACCAATCACAGTGGAATTATAGAGGAATAATTAATTGTGATTGGTTAATTTCTTACAGCTTAAAGCTTACTACATCTATTGTAGATCGGGACTAATCAACTTCAGCTTCAATATCTGGCTCCAGGCCTCTCTAAAGCCCATTCTACAATTGCGTAAGCCTAGTCGTGAACGTAAGAGTCAACCAATCCGAATGTTTTATTCACTGATTGCTTTATTCTGATTGGTTGTAGTAATCACATATAACCACTTACAACCACGTTCACGCAATTGTAGAATGGGCTTAAGAGTTATGCTCCAACGCCATTTTTCCGATTAATGATCTATATCGAGAATAAAATCTTGGAAAATTCCAAGACACGTTCCAAAAAATCACACCGTTCGAACGTGTTCGAACTCGTCTTGTCGTGACGGCATCGGGACTAATCGATTCAACATTTGATTTCTCGTTTACTCGAGAATCGATTGTTTACTAGATTGCCCGATCTGCCGTTGAGTAGTACCGCTTGAACAAAATCTAGTCAGCCCGACCTGCCATTAAGTTGTACTCCTTATCACTCCAGTTCATAACGCTACGAGCCGCCAGCGTTTTCATCGGCCAATCGAGGCGACAGTACGACTCAACGGTAAAGAAGATGGCCGCTATTTTCAAGCATTACGATTCAATAGTGGATTAGAGGACCTTGTGTTTTAATAATAGGATTAGAGATAACCATTTGGATAGATTTTTATTAATATTCACGAACACCGTGGTGAGCATTCAACGTTTCTACATCTATCTACCGCCTTGTGCTTTGTGCGAAAATGAAATGAAGAAAATACGAAGATGTAGGACAGCAAAAAAATGGTGATCTATGCACACGATCGATACTCGCAATCAAGGTAATCGCGATGTTTCCTACAAGAACTGTCGCTTTTATTGAAATTGGTGTGTATACACGAGTGGCACAGTGCTTTATGTAGTTTGACGCTTTACCGTATAATACTGCGGTTCGAATAATGAGCGAGTTGAGCGTTTACGCGTCTCGAGATGTTTCCTCTAATAGTCTTTACTGGTCCGGTGCATAATTCTCTCTCTCTATATAATATCTACTGTAAATACGTATATGCATATATACACTTGCATATGCATATATACGTACGTGAAGTGTCCCGCCGAATTGTTCGCTCGGCCCTCGATCGAGTTTAATTTAATCGAAAAGATTAATCGAAAAGGATAAAGCCGTGCTCTCGGTGCACCCCGCGTACGCATACATTGCGCACTAATGTAATCTCGTACGTGTCTCTATGTATGGTATAGTATAAAATTAACATATAGGAAATATTCAGAATCCTCTGGCAAACTTCCACAACGTCGCGCGAGCGATCGAACATCGATACGATTTACGATCCTCCTTTTCCTTCTCCACCTGTCGCAAGGACGTGTTTGACGAAAGTGAACAATGACGATATGATACGCGGCACGCTCGTATCACGAAAGTTTGTTTTGGAAGTTTGACAATCAAGTTTTGAAACGTCCTATATAATGTGTGTATGTGTATATATATATATGTATATATATATATATATATATATATATATATATATATATATATACACATGTACACGTTTGTATCGGAGAGGAAAAGAGCGCGCCGAGATGTCGCGGTGTATAAGATATATACAAGATCGATGGAAACTCTTCTGAGATGAAGTGAAAGGTACAAGGATTCTAACAATGCCTTCCCTTTTCGGCCAGGATATTTTGGCATTGTATCTACATATTTTTGTATATCATGACTGTTAATTTTAAGAAGAATCAGCACATTAAATGCAACAGTAATAACGCGTATATGCATTCACTATGTATATTACTGTTGCATTTAATGTAGTTGAATCCTAATTCTTCTCAGAACCAACATGGTCATCCCACGTGGCTTAAAAGTCAATGTTATTATTAGTCAAATTGTTGCTATATCTCAGTTAATTAAGTTTGTTTTGCATGAGAACACAATGTTGTAATAATTATCTCTATCGCGGAGAGTAGCACGTTAACATTACTAAAACATCAGTTTAAAATAGCAAGGTAGTTATATTTTGATAGATATTGAAACGATATTAACGTAATCACAAGATAACTTTGAATCAGCCAAGGAAACCTTGTATTAATGTCCGAGTTTATTAAAAGATTTGTTAAAAGTCCTGAAAGATAATGAGATAACATTGCTACCATATCTTTAGCAACATAATTCAAAGCTTCTTAACTTTAACGTTGGTGTAACATTTTTTTGCTATGCTTTGGAATGATACAAGAATATGTAGATGCAATACGCTCAGGCTAAAATATTCTAGCCGAAAATAAAAAGCATTATTGAAGTCTCATGTGAGTCCTATATAAGAGTAATGGAGTTGTTTGAGACGCGGATGCAAGAGAATGTTTCCTTGCGTTCGCGTGATGTCATAGTACCTGTGTCTATTTGTCTCTTTTTGTCTACCTGTTTGTCCAAAATGTCAAGCGAAGAGTCATATTGTTAAACTTGAATCGCGCGCATGAACTGCGACGTTGTTGTCTTCGTCGCTTTTAGAATATTGCTTCTGAATATAACGAATGCGACTTTAGACTTTCCTCTAGCGCTACACGCTTTCCTTACGTTCTATGTATCATACAAATATCTTACGCGTATAATAAATAAATATATATATATATATATGTGTATTTGTATATCTAGAGATATATATTCCGGTATCGAGATACTTTCCGCCTCTAAATGCGACCGAGCTGTGAACACAAACCACCGCGCGTCGGTTACCGTGTCAACCAATCGAAACGTCAAATAAATGTTAATGACGATATATGTATTATTTTACAATATATAATGATATATAAAAATAATATATCTTGCTGGAAGATACAGACACGAAGAGACAAAACAATTTGTCGTGCGCGATATTTATTTAAGGTCCGAACAAACGACGGGAACTCTTTTTTTTTTTCCTTCCAAACAGGGAACGCGAACGCATTTGCTTTCTTTCCTTCTTTTTTTTGACACTAGAATATCCCATGTGTCAAAAAGGCAGTATATTTGTTATATCTTCCGCCGCGAACCGTGAGTTCTCTCTGGCAGAGCATCTTTTCACATTTTCTCTCTCTCTCTCTATATATATATATTTATGTATATATTTAATCTACGAACCCTGACCTGTGTTCTCTTCATTAGTAACTACACACTTTATACTTCAACATTATCCAATTAATCTCATTAGCCGTAATAATTCTGAAATATACGATCTTCGTACTTTTGTGATTTCGGCTTTCTAATATCTCTTTCTCATTCTCTCTCTCTCTATATATATATTTATATATTTATCTTTGTTAGAATAACTCGCGAGGAATACAGCCCGCTTCCATTTCCCTTTCTAGTCTCTAAAATAATTATCGCTATGAACGCGTCAGCGAACATGTATGTCTTCAGGTAATAGCGTTTAGAGGATAGATCTCGCACTTTACCAGAGTGCCACGTTTCGAGATTTACTTTCCGTCCTGATGACGACATGTTTCAAACTACTATACCTAGGTCGAGAGACTCGTATGTTGTGTGTGTATGTGTCTGTTTGTTGTATGAACTATATAAGAGGTAACAGCGCATAATGTATAATTAATAAATATGTAGATAACACTATGGAAATAAGTATGTCAATAATATCGCAAACAGAAGACATTCGGTGGATAGATTCGTTTCGCTTCGAAGTCCACGACAGTCGATACGTATGTACGCATACGAGGGAGCAAAGTTTCGTGTCAAATAAACGGGAAAGAAGCGTGGCGGAATACTCGGGTTCGCCACGCTCGCGAACGTTATATGGCACCTGGGGAGATTTATAACGAGTAAAGTTATTATTGGACGGTGAAGCACAGAATAGCGTCGCTAGACAGTAGTTTCCCGGTCTACGTGGATGTACTCCACGAAGCCGGGCTGCTGATGTCAGGATGCCGCGCCGAGAAGTGTCTCTTCCGTCGGTGCTCGTCGCGGCTTATTGCTTTTCTTCGTTCCTTTGTAATGAAGTCTCTTTGTGCGAGCTTTGGATCTATAAAGGATAAATGCTAATGTTAGAATCGGTTTCCAAATTACATTCAATTATATATTAGTTCTAAAAAATTATATTATTAATTATATCCGAACTCTAGATTTTCAATGAGAACTTGCATTTTGTAAGATTAAAATTTCAAAATGCATCTCCTTCGGAGATCTACAGTACTCGTCATCATTGTTAATATAATTCGTTGCTGAATGTTTTCTCAAAACATTTTGTTTAAATATTTTCTGAAGCGAAGCTTTCAAGTGATCTGAAGGATGGAAAACTAAGTAGTAGTGGATATCACGTGACGTCACCTGCTAATAAGAATAGTGAATAGGCACGCGAAGGCAGTGACAATTCCGGCGACGCCGGCCACCACGAGCCACATGGTGGGTGGCAATAGTCCGAGCAGTCTCGCGCCGTTACCGCAGTTGGCCTCGTCGTGACCGGAGGGGCAGTGAGCACGGCCATCGCACCAGAGACTCGCGGCGATGCACGCGCCCAGCTCCGGACATTTGTGCGGGCAGTCGCCGTGCGGCACGGTCTCGTTCTCGATACCACCTCTCTCAGGAAGACGTAGCTGCCGGCGCAGCGCAGCACGACTTTTGGAGATCTCGAGCCACGAGGCAGCTGCTTGACCAGGCTCTCGCGCTACGAAGTCCAACAACAAAGCAGGCGGTCGGGGAGGGCCCGGTCGCTTACCCTCGTCGCTACCCAACCACTCCTCGGAGAACACATGCACGGTGAACTCGCGAGCACCCGGTTCGGCCGGGCACACCACTTTCAGTAGCCTCGGCGGCCATCCGGAGTAGAGGAGGATCCGATTAGTGGTCGGACATTTCACCTGATCGGACACTGGCGCATCAGCGGTGACGAGAGGCGGCTCTAATGGTAGAAACCAACCCCAGGTGAGGACAAAGAGCGAGCGATTCTCACGCGCCTCCACCAGCCAAGGAAGACCCTCGCAGTAAATGTCCGGTCTTGACAAGGGAGGAGTCACGAATCTCAGTTCACCACCTGCGGAGTAAATCAATGGAGAAATCAATCTTGCTCAATAACCGATCGCTTTCGTGTTTTCTTTCTTTTTAGGTCTCATCGCACAGTCTTGACGTAATTACCTTCACCGCGAATCCGTTGCTTCCGCGGACATTCCGGCACGCGGATGAGCTCGAAGCTGGCGTAGAAGAAAAGCGTCTCGAAGTCTTCGTGCGGTGCTTGCTGGTCTACCGCGAAGGTGATCTCGAGGGCTCTACCGGATGAGACGTAGATGAGCGGCAGGTGTGACGTGTTGTCACACAGACACGCTCGCGCGAGTTTCACGTCTCGCCACGGCGCCTCGTAGATAACGAGACGCGCTTCTCTGGATCCTGTCTCCTGAACACAGCGCGGTCGACCTGTGTGCGGATCGGGATCGCTCACGCACACGGTGGACTCACCCAAGCTGACATTGTGCAACGTCAAGCGGATCCTCTCACCGTTGCCAGCCTCGATGCGATACCTGCAGTCCAGCTTGCTGGAACCACCGCGACCGTACAGGCGTACGTCGCGCGGCGACATCACCTCTCCCACGCGCGCCTTGCGCCATATTCGGCTGCAGATGCCGTCGCCCCAAGGTTCACCGGCTTGAAGAGTAGAAACAAACTCGTACTGTGCCTGGAATACATCGGGGATTAATGTGAGTCGTATAAGTTGAGCAAATTAGTCGACACGGTTATGACACAGATGATATTTTCCTGGGTCTATCTATCGATCTATACAATGTAGTATCGCGTATTAATCTAAAAAAATCTGTGAATCTTTTCTTAGTTAAACTGACTTTTGAAATTTGTTGCAATTTCTCTAAATCGCTAAATCAAATTGATCTCAATAAATTCGAAAATTAACTTGAAAAATAATTTCGAAAAGGACGATATCTTTCTTCGCCGTTTTCTCGTCTCAAAAGCAATAGATATATGTATTTAAAATGCCCAAGTACAGCCTGTATACTTACATGAAAGTTGATCGGATGGAGTGCGGTCCCCAGTATGGTCTCCATTCGTAGCGTCAAGCTCGGCGCGGTCGTCAGGTAGCTCTCGTCCTCGGTGCATGGCCTCGTGCTCCTGGTGATGTTCCGTAGCGCCGCGTGTGCGCACAACCTGGGCGTATCGTCACACAACGTGGCCATCGGTTGACCGCTGTTTGGCGCGCCGTCCCAGAAGACAAGTTTCACCGCGCACGTCGGATCCGACTGTGCGCTCGCATTGTTTTCGCCGTTGCTGGTGAAGTCGCGCTGTGAATATGACGAGAAGTAGATCCAGACGCGGTCTCCAGTGGCGCCCTTGATGTTCCACGTGCAACTGGAGTTGGGTGGTAACGCGTGCAACGGCGCGCGTATGCTGCCACTCCTCTTGCTGGTACCGTTGACGAAGAAGTGACAGCCTTGCGCGCCCTTGGCGTAGTCCAAGCCGTCCGAGTCGACATAGATGACACGTAGCTCGAGCTCCAGTCGCAAGGCGGACGCGCCTAGCGCTATAGCTACGGGTGAGCTGCGAAACTCCACTTGCATGGCTGGTCCACGTGCGGTGACCTGCGGCAACGGACCGCCGCAGTAGATCAAGAGGATAGGATCCTCGGTGCGCGCGCCGTCGCGAAAGATCAGACGATCCTTTTCCGCGGGACAATCCTGCCAAACGCTGAGACTCGTATTGACGGTGCTGAGACCGGTCGGACCGGTGGGTGTGTTCTTCACCGATATCATGGCATGTTTGCAGGTGGGCACCTCCTTTTGGCGCACGGTGACGAGGCAGCTAGCGTTACGAGGGTATTCGCCCGGATAATTCGGACTCTGCAACCGACACTGCTTCAGGTGACACTCGTAGAAGTTGCGCGAGCAGTATGTACCGGGTACAGGCGAGCCCCTCTCGATCGGTAGCTCTGGTTTGCCAAGGCGTGCGACCGCCTCGTTGCGTGCGACAAAGCGGTAACGCAATCGGAACTCGAACGGTACCGTCGACGGCGCGTGGAACAATCTTATGGACGCGGTGACGGTACTGGTCTCGCTGTAATAGGTAGCACGACCTTCGCCTACGCCGCACCACGAGCCACCGGTGAAGTGTCGACCCAACTCAGCCAACTGCAGCGAGCCCTCCGGACAACTGGTGAAGTAGTTGTCGGCGTTCGGATCGACGCGACCTACGCTGAAGGCGTCCCACAGCAGTTGCACTAGTTCGCCATAGCCCTGGCCGGCGGCAGTGAATGTCAGATGACAAAGGAACGGCAGTCGCTCCTCGGCCGGCCGCGGCAGATCCAACTTGTACGTGCGACCTTCGCGACCGTGATACGTGCGGTTGCACGGCGTACACATCGCCGGCTCGTCGCTACCGTCACCGCAGTCATCCTCGCCGTTGCAATACGCGTCTATTGGCACACAGTGGCCGTCGTTGCACCTCAATTCAGCCAGACCGCAGGTGCCACCGCCACCACTGCCGCCGCCGCCGCCGCCGCCGCCGCCGCCGCCGCCTCCGGTGCCGCTGACACCGATGCCGCACGACGCGTCGATCAGCAACAGCGAGACGATACCGACGAGGCTCAGTCGAAAGCGTCTAACATCGTCGATGCCCCCTCCGGCATCAGCTATCTCCTGCGAAATGGAAACGAAGCGATTTCACACTAGTCTCGATGTTGTCGATCACCTCGTTCTGTGTTTTTGCGTCTCTTGAAAGGAAGAAAAGGAAAAGAAAAGGAAAAGGCAGATCGAGATGCTCCAATTCGCTGATGGATATGTTTGCTCGTTCTTTACAAGATAATACTTGAATTAAGATAAACAAGCGAGAAATAACGGAAAAAATGTTCGATTGATCGCTTACACGATACGTTTCTTCAAAACAGGTTGACGACGCGGGTAACGCGGCGGTAACGACGCGGAGTGACACAAAAACCGCGAACTTCGTACGTTAATCGCGTTAGCGTCAAGCCGCTTTGAGCGGTCGAGATTCAAATCGATCGACCCGACGACGACGTCTGCTAACGTGTCGCCATAAACACCTGTTTCGAGTCTCGGTGAGTACGCTCATTGTTAAACGAACTACACGAACGCGTTGACTCCAAACTATTGCGTCCTATTATTACCAGTTGCTCCTAATCGAAGTAACTTTGTCGCTTTATCAATTACCATAATAGTTCGTCAGTGAAACGAGCATCACAGTGACAATTCCCACGTGAGGGTGACTCGAATCGCCGAGGACGAGGAGACAATGCGCGGCATCATGTCATGCGGCGAGCGAAGAGGAGAAGAGAGTCCGAGAAGAGAAACTACGCGCGGTCTCCGAGCGAGAGTCGCGGCTCGCGACCGACGGCAATCGCCGTCACTGACGGCATTGCCGATTCGCTCATAATACCGCGGGATCGGTCGTGACTGGGCCTCTTGTCGATTGACAAAGCGACGCCGGAAAACCCCGCCTCTCTCGCGCTGCTGCGACTCACTCTCGCTGCACCGCACGCTGAGGAGCGCGCTGTGCACGCCCCGGAGGTCGATGCGCAACTGCACACGCCACATACTTTCCCCGGAGGGAAGCCGCGCTGCAGGCCATATACTGGGGCAAAGCAGGGGTGAACGGGGCTGAGCTCGGGGAGAGCCTGGCTGCTAGGCGCCTCAATGCATCGATCGGCTCTCGCTCTCGTCTCTTCCTCCCTCCGTCGCCCTATCTCCTTCTCTCCGTCTCTCTCCCGCCCTCTATCTCTTCGTCCGTCTACCACCCCCTGTGAAGCGAGGATTGACACCGGTATAATTTCACAGAGCTCAATCTCCGATGACGACGGTGTGCCGAGAGGCTCCTTACGCCGATCGTCGTGTTGCCATTGTCGCGAGGCAACGCCAGAGGATACGTCTCGCTGAATGCGTCTCTGCAACGTCGAAGTACAAACTCACGTTAAATAGTATTTGCTTGAATCCTTACGCCTTAGAAAGTTCAACATACACTGAAAAGTAAGAAGCAGAGAGGCGATCACGCCGGGCTTCGCGATCGTCGTCTCCTCTTCGTCTTCATCGTTTTATTTACTTACAGGTTTCCATCTGTCGACCACGAGGGTACCACACGTCTCTCACCTTTGCTCCTCTCCTGCTCCTCCGCCTTCACCAACCGCGTTCCACTTCAAACGGGTCACTGAAGATCGAGGAGTTCGATGTACACGTCTGTGTAGTATGCTCGCGGATGTTGAATTTTGAAATTCTCCCTACAATATTAACGCTCACGCGTGATTCTGCCTGAGATACCGGCCCTTTTCGCGCTAGTCGATTGCGCCGCTGTATATTTCAAAGCTTTACCGTCTGCACTTTACCCTAACTGTCTGTTATGTTTGCTCCACTTTCGGTATTACCGCAGGAACTTCGAGAACCGCCGCATCGATCAGTGTTCTGGGCTGCTTGCGCGATGAAGAGCATCATGATCCACGTAGGCAGATTCGCCAGGCGCCGGGAAATCGATTGGATCGATCGGACAGGCGGCACAGAACGCCGCGTTCGATTGTGACCTTAACGATCCGGCGAAACGAGCTCTTCCGAATAAACTGGAACAGAGCAAAGCGGAATTTTCGTTAATGCGTCTTTCGCCCGTTGCTGGAAATCGAAATCTTCGGGAGCGTCATCAAACCGCAAGAATCACAATATTCATCTTTCTCGCGGCTATCGTCGTATCTTGCGCAGCGCGCGCGCGCTTCCTCGGATTCCGCTTATCGGAATTTTTGCGCTCTACTAACTGCCCTACGGTTACTCTCCGGTGAAGCATCATTGACCGTGTTTGCAAAAGCACGCTATCTTATTCGTCGGCGATCGAAAACCCGCTTCAGTCGCACAAGTCGAACAAATAATGCACTCGCACATCGTCTGGTTATCGGCGAGTGAAGATAAGACGAAGATAAGGCGAGCTCACCGATTGTTTCAGGTCGACTCGCGGATTTCCTAGCGGAAGCGAGGATTATCAGCGTTTGCTCTCAGCTCCGGATCGTATCTACACGGACTGTTCTGCTGAAATTCGCGCAGTCTGGAACGCTGCAACAGACAGAATTCCGGCGAATAAAAATTTGCTGTTTACCGACGAGTAGAGCGAATCTAATTTCATATACGAGAGTTTACTCGTTATTCGCGTTCACGCGTGAATAAATAGAATAAGTTTGACTCTTTGACTGGAATTGATCGGAAATCAAATTTGCAGGGACCTCGATCTCCCCGCTGATCTCAATGTTCCCGTAGGTGCTTGAAAGCGTGGACGAGGAGAACGACAACGGCGACGCATCCGTGCATCTGGGGCGAAGCATGTCGAGGACGTCGTCATCGTTCGACGTTGCTGGCCCTAATACATACATGTGTAGCCATTGGCGCGTGTATCGCGGCACAGCCTGACGACGATGACGAGGCTATCGAACGCGAGTGTACACCCTCCTCTCGAGAGTGCTCGCGTACGCCCGCCAAAGGGAAGATCGGTAGCACTCTTATTGCGCTACCAGTGGCACCACAGCATCACTGCAGCCTGCTTGGTCGTTCCCCTTTTCTTTTCATCGGTTATCGAACTCGTCCATTTATCGTGCCGCTTATTATAAACAGTTCATCGTCCGCGACGCTTTATCAATTAACCCTAGGATGCGTGAGGGTGATCTTGCGGCGTGTATTATTATTGTTCGTGATATCCCCCGCTGTCTCTGGTGAGATCTTCATTTTCTGAGCGATTTCCGGAGAAAGCTCTCTTCTCGGTGTTCGATTTCGATTGCTCGCTTCTTCATTATTTCAATCATCGTTGAGGCTCGTGAGCCGAGCAGCGGACTTTTATCAAACGGTCGATGTGTATTATGCGGTCGAGGGTCTAACTTTGTAACTCGGTTACGGTGTGAATCCTATATGTAACGCGAGAGCGATTGTATGCCGCACAGGGTATCCCGTGGCTCGCGATTTTAATTTTACAACGGAGAGACTCCCTGGTAAATATGAACTCGGTCATTCCTGTACAAGAATTAAGGTCGCCCGCGTTGCGAGACATCCTGTATACACTTGTCGGTTTCAAATACGATATTGTGCGCTGGAAGTAATCTATCCCTATATACGAGGAGAATACGGAGACGAATAAGAGTGGGTATGTGCAGGTAGCCTCCTGGGATCGCAAGCTTTCGGATCTCATGCATGTCACGTGCATTTACTTGACTGTAGTTTTTAACTCGCAATAAACTCGCACGGCTCATGCTTGCGAGGCCGTTGTATGCGTGTAATGTACTATGTACATGCGGGAGATACGACTGAATGCTAAATGCGCAGGACGTACACAAAAATGCACATTCACTCGCAAAGCAGACTTATGTGTTTCGCGGAAATTTTTCGTCCTCAACGAATACGAAGCCGTTGAATCATGCTATAAACTATAAACGAAAAGGAACGCTTGCTAAATATTACATTCCACTTAGCGATATTGCGCTCTGCAGAAGCATTCTGTATTATGTTAACAATCATTGCCAGTCTTATTTATTATTAAGAAGCTCGCGTTAGTTAATTTCATAGGCAAGTTGACGAAATATTAATAGCCTTAATTAATAATAAATTAATAAAAGCTTCTAATCGCCAGACACAAAATTGTCATTTATTGTTGTAATTACTATCTTCTTTCTTTTCAATAATATTGGGTGACTGACAAATGTTGACGGAATAGGGAATATCTGCACTGATTTTTACAAATTAAAGAGGGCTTAATCTAGGAGCTTTATGAAAGAATGAAAGTACATACATACATATAAAGAGAAAGAAAGGAGGATATCTCCTTTAATAAATATTTGTATATTCGTACAGGATATAAATTAATATTAGGCGAGATTGGTAGATTCATTAGATGATTTAATGTGCAAACTTGCGGAACAACGGCAAGTGACGATCGTTCATCACTATTGTATTTGAATACATCAGTTTATATGCGGCGCTTAGTGACAATATTATATCGTCATATGCATATCTACAACGGTGCAACTAAAATCTACATGTTAAAAAAAAGAATTCACTAGTTATACATATTTTTTTCCATTTTTCAAATTAACACGTTCTCTCTCATAGCTGTTTGCTAATTGTTACAGGGATACAAAACTTACAGAGAAATATATATATATATAATTTCTTAAAGTTATTAAAATACCTTTCATTTTCCATGGGACTGTAACAACAGTTCCATTAAATTGAGAAATTGAATATAAAGTATACTTCTGTATAACGTACACCCTAAAGAATCAAATTTACGCGTGCAATATTAATCTGAATACATGTATTCAGATAATATATAACATTTTTCATTACACGTACAAAATATGTAATTTTTATTTTATTCGATTTTTAATTTAGTTTTATCGTCGTATTGCATATACGGAACATGGTGCCGCGTGAGCAGTTAGGTCGCTTGAGAAATTCTGCAACACTAATTTCGGAATAAATATTAAGCGTGCATGAAGAGCGGAATTAATAAGTTTACGACAAAAAAAAAATGACTTCCCGAAATAATCTTTTGCACGAAAGTGCGAAAATTGTACGTTGAAACGGTGAAGTGTGCCGATGCATCAAAGAACACCACTCGTCGTCAAGTTTAAAACGCATAACGCGTACGAATGTCCTCTAGTTTCTTTGACACCTCAGATGGAGTTCTCTCGAGATCGCCCGAAATGCTCTTTTGCTTCGCTGGCTCGATCGAATTGAATTGTTCACAGAGATCACCGTCGATGACATTTTTCACAGGATAGTAGTACGATCTGAAAGACAGATGATCCCTGCCGCACAACGGCGGATGTTCGGATCTCATGTGCATCTCGAGATGCTGGAAAAAATCGTGATCCTCGTGGCTGGTAAACGGCACGAGGACGCCCACCGTTCCGCTCAGAGTCGTGTAAACCAGACTCTCGGAGCCACCAGGTATAAGAGTCGCCTTCTGCAGCGACATCACCGTCTCACCGACATGGAAACAAGCTACCGTGTCCGCCTTCTGGCTCGCACCATTCAACAATCCTCGATCCCACAGGGCTTTATTACCCGTGGGATCTTCGTCCACGTCGTCGTTAATGCCGGTAGCTAATCGTATCTGTCGAGAAAAGGAAGAAAGAATGAGACAAATCTAATTTCACGCTGAAATGATTACATTAATTCTGAATCACTCCCATGAGTAAGGGCTCTCAGCACCACGCGACAAAGTTATTGATTGTGACTGATTAACATATAAAACGAAAAGTACAAAATACACGTACAAATCGACTTCTTTGTGTCCATCTCAGAAATTTGATCTTTAAGATTCTTGGCCTCTTGTATTGTTTACCTCTTTTTAATGACGTCAGAAAGGAAGAAATGCATGTTAAAAATTCTTGCAAAATACGTTAAAATAAAAATATATATCCATAAAATAATATTTGCAACTGATTAAACAATTAATTTATTGTAAATTGATCTAAATAAAAATAGGCGAAGAAATAGGTTAAGAAGATGAATTGTATGTCACATTGATTTACGATAAATTATTGTTAGGACAAAAGGGGAGTGCATCGAATATCTTAAAAATTTGTTTAATCAATTGCAAGTATCATTTTATGGATATATATTTTTATTTTAACGTATTTTGCAAGAATTTTTAGCATGCATTTTCTCGCTTCTGACGTCGTTAAAAAAGAGATAGACAATGCGAGGAGCCACCTTAATCTCATAAATTTTGATAAAATTTCACCCAGAATCGGCTATGGAAATGCGGTGAGAGCGATTCATGGGATTATCGAAGGATTTGAAAGGCGATAACTTACCACAGCTATATTCCCGAATTTATCGGCGGTAGCCACAGTGTCGTAATCTAACACGCACGTCGTCGTGATCCACCTGGGATGCGTGTCGTCCGCGAAAACGATAAGTTGATTCTCTTGGCGCTTATATCTTACAGCGTACACCGACTCCTGCACGTCGCTAACGTAAATCCGCTGACCGATAGCGTTGATGGACACCACGGCGTTCGGAATGTGTTTGTTCTCACATTTTCGCAGTAATTTCTTCTTACCCATGTCGTAGAGCCGTAGCATTCTTCCTACTCCCACTAATACCCGGCCCTGATATGGACAAATGGCCAGAGGAACTTCGTCCAACGGAGATTTGTGCAGAAGCTCGATGTTCATACATTCCGAATTAACCCTGCGACACGAGACAATTGTTTTTCGTCATTTAATTCCACAATATTTCGCAGGAGGCGAGAGAAATTTTCGTTAATACATATATCTAACATTAATCTGATTATTAAGCACTTTCTCACAATATAAAATTGTAATTCTCGTCGTTTAACAACGTGTATTCATATTATTTGAAAATATTGCAATAATAATGTAATAACTTACTTATACGTATAAAGAAATCCACCATTGCTAACCCTGGGATTTAATTGAAAGTCCTTCGCAACTCCAACTATAAGGAACATCTGGTCTCCTTGATTGGCGAATTTTACCAGGCATAGGCTACGGAAAGAAAAAAAGCTCATCAGTACCGAATACCTCAATTGTTGATTATTCTACCATAAAATGTTCTTTCATTGCTTACCAAAGAGCAGCCAAGTTCTGTTCAAAACGATGCATTTCGAAAGTTTGACCAGTAGTAGGTGCCATTATTCTCAACGAAGATGCCCAGAGACCTGGGCCCGCTCTCGGAGCGCCAAAAACAGCTTCGTTGGGTTCTTCCGACAAGAATGCTTCCGCTAGTTCTCTGGCAACAGCGGCCTCGTCCGCACCTGCGGCCTCCTGCATTTCCTCCGCCATCTGCAGCCGTCTTTGTTGTTTCGTTTCATCTGTATAGGCGTTATGCTCGGTCTCGATGACTACCAGATGCGCGGAATCGGTGTGTATCGCGAACTTCCGTGGTGTGTACTCCAAGGGAAAGCTCACTTGATTAAATACTGCGCCGAGTTTCTCGAGCGCCAAAATTCTCAGAGTATTTGTCGATATGGCGACGATACCCTCCGGGCACTGTTCGGAACTGAAACCCGACGCGAATTCTAGGCTCTCGTAAGAAAGTGGGGTCAGATGAAAGCGATTCTGATAGTAGTAACTGAGCCACGATCTGCTGCTCATCGCCAGTACCGCTTGGTTGCCTTGCATTCGTATTCTGAAGAGCTTTACTGGTCGAGAACCTAGGTAACGCGTTCTTGTGTCCGCGAGGTCGCCGGAAATTGGATCCAGCACGGTTCTGAGTAACACACCGTTTTGCAAACCTGTAACGAAAATAGTAATACACGATAGTAGCGTTCAACGCACACATCCAATATGTGGGAAGCGATTGTCTCGCAAGTGAGACTCACCTATGTTCAAATACAAACTGGATTGTTGCGGCGCCGAATCCTCAGAATTATCGGCATCCTTAACACCCATTTCCACGATACACAAACTCTCCGCGGCTGCTGGCAACGCTTGCATACTCCTCGGCGCTAGACAGTCCGATGGATCCAACGAGATTATCCTCACCGTGTTGTCTTGCAGGCCAACGGCCAAAAACCACGACCGTTGCTCGCCAACGGCCACATTACCTAGAGCCATGCACATAACTTCCGAGGGCATCTTCTTCCTTTCCGTGTACTCGTTCAACTGCCCGGTCTGTAAGCAACGTTCCAAATCAGTCGATGGCAATCATCAAGATAGAAAGCGGTGTGTCTTGTACACTTCTTATCGATTTCAACTGGCAAGCAGTCGAGACTATAAATATGAAGCGAGTGAATTTGCTCTTCGCATCTTTTACATCTCCGAGAACACTGACCAGACGTCCTCGAAGAGAACAATTAATGCGAGTGTTACTTGATCGTCACGTCGGAAAAGCGGAAAATTTATTGCGGGTACGTACAGGATCCATTTCGAAGTAAACTAGTTCGCCCCCGGTGAGAGCGATAACTACTTGACGCTGATTAACGGCACACTTGACGATAGTCTTCTTGCCAGGTGCTTTCCACTCGTTTACGCGCTTATCCGCACGAATGTGGCGTATTCCGTCCGGATAAACCTGAAAGCCAATCATGTTTGATAAAAATTTCACGAATAATCTCCAAGCAGAATTAATAAAACGAATTGTGTGTATCACATTCGTATTGGTGTTACATCTAATAATGTGTATGCTACGGCTCCTGGTCCCTCGCCGCGGAATTCTTGATTGATGACGTCGGAAGTGAGGAAATGTATGTCCAAAATTCTTGTAAAGTTCGTCGCAATAAAAAGATATATAAAAAAAATAACACAATCGATTAAACATATCTCTAAAATACTCCGAACACTTTTTTTGCTTTAACAATCAATAAATATAACTGAAATTAACGTGATATGCAACATTTCTTTTTAACTTATATTCTTTTTTCGGGGTATTTTAAAGGTGTATTTAATCAATTATAAATGTCATTTTTTAAATATATCTTTCTATTTCAACGTATTCTGTAGGTACTTTGAGCACGCATTTCCTCGCTTCCGGCGTCATAAATCAAAATGGCCACGGTGAGGGGCCAGAAGCCGTAATAATGACCCGATAAAGGGTTTACATAATGTGATTGTCGGGCCCGTAATACCAGGAAAGTTCGTATGAAACCGGAACATTCCAACGATGAATAAGCCCAGATTATGATCTAGCACTGAATTATTACGACCGGCACGTGGTCGACCAGGTGCCGGAGATACCATAGTGCATCGAGAATTCGACAAATAATTTGGAATACATTTTCACAGTAAGAGAAGGGCCAGCGATTTTTTTGCAATTTTTCTACATCATATTAAGTGATATTCGAATCGTTGCTTGTATGTCGCAAACACGTTTACACCCCACAATTGTGCCCTTGTCTCTTTTCGACGTGACTTTCTCACATCATAAAATTTTGCTGTTTTCCTTTAAGAATGTCAGTTTAATATACCTGCACCAACGCGTCCTCGCCCAAAGCGGAGCAACTCAAGGTTGGTGTTGTACCGAGAAAACCCGAGTCCGTCACTTCCTCTACAGTTTCTCCGATACTGAGTACAAGCGTAGCATTCACGAAGGACACTATGATGTATGCATCATATTCCTCTGCAATCAAAATCATAAAGCTAATTCTCAGTATGTGGGAAAGTGCGAACGAATATTGAATCGCGTATTCTTTTTCGTTCTCTTTCTTTCCACTTAATTTGCATAGTATATTATGACACTAGGCGTCCTCGAACGAAACCGCGCACGCTCTCACGTCGGGCACGGAAAGAGTTGATGAGCATTTTTATATATATATATATATATATATATTTTTTTTTATCGAGCGAATCGACTCTTGCTCGTGCCAATTTCGTAAGTCCTTACCTTTCGGTCATTCAGAGTTCTGTGGGTCAACCAATAGCGTACTGGCATCCTGAAAGAGAGAACTGGTGTTTGATAAGAGTGTATCAAGCCACCAGGTTCATTAATATCGTTTATAAAAACCGATGCCATTTTGTGTTTGTTTTCTCTTTAAAATGATTTACGATTTTCTTTTCAGTGTTGTACACTAAGTATTAGTATCCTTACCCCAAAGTTTTGCTCACAAGAGAGAATTTGCTACGTTTGAGCGTTTCGATCCGTTTTTTTTCGTTAAAGAACGGGACAAGAAGATAACGAAAGTCTACAATACTTCCAACGCTGACTGCATAAAAAAAAAATTTTTTTATGTTGGTCCGCAATAGCATACAGAGGATTCTCAAAGATAAAAGAGACGATACATATAAGATTTTTTTTTCTATGAGAAGAAGAAAAGAGAAAACAAGACCGATCGTAGCTAAAACTCATCGGCTGTTGAAGTAAGCAATTCGAGTGGAAACATGCAGACAGTTCGTATGTGTAGAAGTATTTTTTGACTAACCATCAATTCTTCTCTTCACAGTCCATACAGCGTTTGGGTTACCGGGCAATTCACTCACGGCCATCTCGGAAACCTCGAGTCCATGACGTAATACTCGTAGAGTGGATCGTGGACCTCTGCCGCAAGCGATATACAATTGCGGTGTATCTTCGTTCGCCAGATCCGCCACCTGCGTCGATAAGAGATAATCAAATTATTTTCCTTCAGATAATATTCAAGTACTCGCGTTATTGCTTTCATTTCTCAACTAAAACCTTTTAATTACTGATTTTTCTTCATAAATCTTTCAGTTAAAATTTAATGCAATTCAATATAGAGAGAAAAAGAATGACATAATAATCAATAATTTTTTCCTGTTTGAAGAAATTTCTTCTTTTCTATGCTTCCTTTCTTCAAATGTAACGTGATAAAATGGAGAGCTCGTCCTAGATGTATATACTTGTCTCTCTTAGAGTTCACTTCGATGTGCAGAAACAAACCGAAGGCGACTAAGAGCATTCTGCTATCGCACTTTATGATACAGGAAAAGCGATGCAGAGTAAACATCTCTTTTCACTAAAAAGTGCTGAATCGAGACTTTTACCTAATATAGGTATCTCACCTGGCAAGCCATTATAGGCGAGAGGCTGTCCATTTCGTCCACCAGCACCAAATTTCGCAGCGGTCGCGGTGCAAAGAAAAAGGTATCACCCTCTTCTAACGGCATGGCGGAACTGAATTCAGGCTCGTCATCGTCGTCGCCGAGATGAGCAATTTGATACAAATAACTGAAAGAACGATAGTAGTGTATAAACGAACTTTCTCGTGACTTTCTTAGAAAGAACGCTAGAAATGTTTCGAGATTTTCAAAATATTTCCTACTTCATAGAATATGAATTTTTTCCATGTAACATAAAAAAAGATTAATACATATTTGTGCTAATATAATTTTATAAGAACATACCGCAAAGTGTCAGGAATGAAAAATTCGTAAATAATTTCAAAACTTTTGTCTGCAATTTCCCCATATATATTTACGTAAAACACGAGATACGAGTACTTACTGGTTTCCAAATTCTGATGCGACAAATAAGAATCCCGTCTTAAGAACACACATACTCGCCGCCACGGGCACGGTGTCGAAGTATTTTAGTTTGATCTCCGTCACCATATCGTCGTCGGTTTCAAGCGTGATCTTAAAGATATCCCCCTGCTCGGTCTGAGCAAGAAAGAAGAACATACTTTTTGTCTTATGTGTGGCCGAGCAAACGAATATCATGCCTCTCTCTGGATCATCTAGATCATTTCGTCGTCGTGGGATAGGACAACGAATGTCGTGCTGATCGCCCAGATTTTTGTAAGTGAGATAGTTCTCGGAGCAAATAAGTACGCCACTAGGACCGTCATTGCCGCCGGGCACTGACACGAGGAAATTCGCGTGCTCCTCGAGTGGTTCGCTGTATTTTCGTACTACATGGTTCAAGCCGAGGTCCAGTTCGTATAATGTCAATGTCTGCTGCGTCTTCACTGCTGCATCTCCAGTGGGATCGCTGTCTGCTTCCTATAATTAACAATTATTCTTAATCACAAGAGTACATTAAATGTGCATACAATTTGCACAAAAATATATATTGTACTACAAGTACCATCATTATTATCAAAATTTAATCAATGTTAATCAGTTGAAACACGGAATCACAATAATCATATGGTACGTAACAACAATAAATTATCTATAAATGAGATCTCATGAGCTTACTTCATAATCAATCTCCAGGCATGCAAACATAGGATTCTCAAAGCCAACATCCACACCAACTGTATGGTACACCAAGGTGTTGCTCTTGTGTGCTTCCAACGGTGAAGAAATGGTCAGGCGTGCCTCAGCATCTCTGTTCAGAATATACACAAGTTTTTGCTTCTCAATGGCACCTACAACAGTAACAAATGTAACATTTAATGGCCATATTAATAAAACTAGAATTCTGCAATGTATGAATAATGTACCATCATTATAATAGGAGATATAATCAATGCTAATCAGGTGAAACACGGAAATATGATAATCACATGGCACATAATAAGTCTTATTTCTATATTCTAAAATTAACAAGATTAAAAAAATATACTGTACCTATCATAACTGCTCTGCCCTTAGGATCAATAGCTAGATACTGGCCAGGCACGATACGCCTGCATCCACTCTTTCCAAAAGTTTCCTGGTGTACTTTCTCAAAGATATTCTTGGCAGATATATATTCCAGAATTACTATACGGCCAGAATCAGAACCAACCACAATGTAATCTTTTGTTCCACCAGTTAGCCTGAATGCCATTAAAGACCTCACAATGCCAAATACTTCAACAGTCAGCAAAGTATGTACTTTCCCTGTATTTGGATCTGGTCTTAACAGTTCTAACGATTTGCCGCGAGATACTAGGATTTCTTGCATCTTGCTGCCTGAGAAATTGCCATGTACTGCATGCGTAATGCCTGTGGCACGCTGGAGAGTCAAATTGTACAGATACATCTTGGCCTTGCTCTCACTTGTCAATTTCCCAAGCAATAAACGAATAACTTGGATTTACGTTCTTGATAAGGAGCCTCGAGCGTCCATGCTGCAATGAAAAAATTTTGAATAAGAGAGATACCGAAATTCGCAAACCAAAATTGGATTTCTGAATGGTCGTGATTCGAAGTTCTCGCACTCTGAGAATTTATCCTGCTTTTCATGATTTTACACGAAACAGTGTCTCTCCCTACATACTTTATCGGAATATTTGTGCACGATGATAAGGTATGCACGACATCATTCATCGAAACGCTCTTGTTATGTCCGAAATAGATGGTCAAATAAAAAACTAGAAAGAAATACGACGGTAGAAGAATGATGGGAATGTTATCTTACCTCGACCTGATATTTAATGTGACAACACTCGACGATGCCTCTAGATTTCCCACGTAATCGAAGGATACGCAGAATACTCGTCGAAGCAATCGTCGCAAGAGACACAATTAATCGTACATGCGCAAAAGTGCCACAGCAATCTACCGGAAATGAGACGCGCGCGCCGGCAGAACCGCCATTTTATGACTCCTGCACATTGGAAGCAAAATACTTGCCAATCAACGTGCCGCTTTTCCAAAAGCTGAAAGTTTATTGGTTACCGCGTCACTTTTGCCGCACGACAGGCATTTTTTCGCGTCCTCCGTATGTACAAAGACATTAGGCTGATATTATATGTGTCGTACGACAAGTTTTTCGGACACGTTCATTGGTTGGAGAATAAAGTATTTCTAGATTCTCTGTTCGTCAACCAATCAACAAGCTATGCAAAAAGCTTGTATGACACATGTAATATTAGCCTTATGCTTAAACAAATCCGGTACGCGCGAAATATTTCAGATGCACTTTTTCTCCTTGTCTACAACCTTGCTTTAATCTTTAAGCCGTAAGAAATTGACCAACTACAGTCGATTATTTTACAAATAATCAACTGTAATTGGTCAATATTTTACGGCTTAAAGATTAAAGCAAGGTTGTGGACAAGGGAGTTATATACCTAGATTGCATTGAGAGTGCAAATCCATGCAGCGGAAGAGCGGAATGCGGAACGAGAGCGGAACCAATCGCGAATGTTTCGCAATTTTGTTGCACGGATTTTCAATGGGTACGTTCATAAGACATTAGAGAACCTCTACCAGAGAATCAACTTGGTCACGTGACCAACTGATTGGCTGGCATAAATATATACGTATTTAGACATTGCGACGCCAATGTAGAACAAATGCTTTTATATATATATATATATATATAGTTTTGCATCGGCGTCGCAATGTCCAAATCCGTACATGTTTATGCCAGCCAATCGCAGAATAGCTGAGCAGCTGGTCACATAACCAAGTTGGCGATTCTCTGTACTAGAGGTTCTCTAGAAGACATCAACGACTGTGCAACTGTTGAGTGAATGTTCGTCTACAATAGAAGTAGTAGATTCGTAAGTCGTAAAAATTGACCAATCACGGTTGATTTTTCTCGAGCCCAACTATGATTGGTCAATTTCTACGACTTACGACTCTACGACTTTACGACTTCTATTGTAAACGAATCTTGAGGGTTCATTGAGCGAGAAATAATCACTAACTGTATCGTGAACGGTGTTTTTAAGGATTTGAGTACGCGCACGCGTTAATTTAAAAACATAACCTATTATTTAACAAAAATCAACTTATGAAATAAAACATTTATTTTGTTTTTTGGTTACAGATCACATTAAGTAAAAGTTGAAATGTATTAAAGTATATTAAAGAGTATTAAATTTAATAATAATGGATACCAATAATATTATTATTGGATGATAATATTGTAGAGAGAAATAATATAGTAAGAAATATAATTGAAGAATTGGAAGAACCATTATCAAATGAATTTCACATAGAAGAATATCGTGTACGAAAAAAAATGAAAACTATTATGAAGAAATAGTTCCGTTTTAAATGGCATTATTATAATGATAATCACCTGCTTCCTTTTTTGGAGTTATCACAAGGTAATTATTCAGTTTAGGCCCCTCACCTCCAATTTCGATGAAAGTAGGCTCAATCGACGCGTTTTTGTTAAAGAAACAACTTTTTTATTTGACAAAATCGTCGCTCTTTACTGCGAAGCGAGATATTAATAGACAAAGAGGTGCGTTAGGTTAGAAAATCTGTCATATTGTTTATCTCTAGCTGTGTGACTGGGGGACTTCGCCCCCCAAACCCCCGCACCATGATAGGGTGCGGCCGCGATCACTTGTGCTTAAGCTAAAGAGTGAATTTCTCACAAAAGACTACGGCCCACACCACGCCACGTGCGGGGAGTCTGAGGGGCGAAGGCCCACACAGTTACAGATAGACGGTATGACAGATTTTCTAACCTAACGCGCCCTCAACTTTGTCTATTAATATCTCTCTTCGCAGTAGAGAACGACGATTTTAGTTTTCAGATTCGGTTTTTACGCGTCAAAATACACTATCTTACCAAAGTTTAACAAAATCGATGAGAGCGGGCCTTTCCTTCACAATTATCGAATGACCTTAAGGTTCGTCTATAATGAGATTGGCAGTAGGAAGTAAGACGTAAGTAGTAAATAAATTGACCAATCACAGTTGATTATTCTTATAATAATCGACTGTGATTGGTCAATTTGTTTACTACTTACGTCTTACTGCCTACTATCAATGACTTGGTTTACATCGTGCACTTAATACGCGTACTAAATAGTAACTTTCTATTAGATAATCTTAATATCGACGATATATATAAACAACGGTATATTAAGTTGGTATAATACTCATCAACAAAATGTATTGTATTGATTCAATGCGTCACCGTTGATATGCATTGTCGATAGTGGCCTGGTTTACATCGTGTACTTGATATGCGTACTAAACAGTAACTTTCTATTAGATAATCTTAATATCGACAATGCATATCAACAACGATGCATTTAATCAATACAATACGTTTTGTTGATAAGTATTATACCAGTTTAATATACCGTTGTTTATATATATCGTCGATATTAAGATTATCTAATAGAAAGTTACTATTAGCGTACTATTATTATAGTACGCGTATCAAGTGCACGATGTAAACCAGGCCATTGGCTGCGTTCAGCAGAGAAAGCTGCTTTGCAATTGTTGTAAAATTCGTAAATCTGATTGGTCACATGCTCTTGTATTCAACTTAAATTAAGAGCATACTCCAATCAGATTGACTAATTTTACAACAGTTGCAAAGCAACTTTCTCTGCTGAACGCAGCCATTAAGATTATCTAATAGAAAGTTTCTATTTAGTACGCGTATCAAGTACACGATGTAAACTAAACCAATGTCAATAATTCGTCTCCATTAATATGACATCAATTAAATAACAATTTACAGTTGGTTAATAGCTAGTTCATTTATGCATCTTATATTTATCATTTGGTATATATTTAATTTGTATCCATGTACCAACTTGATACTTTTATATCTAAATAGGTGCTTTCCAATTGCTTAACACATCTTGGGTGAGTTCCGTTTCCACGCATGATGCGCATGAAACGCAGCGTTATAGTGACAAAGATACGAGAGTGAGATAAAAAGAGAGGGAGAGCTCTCGGGTGAGGTTGTCGAACCTAGGTTAGGTTAGTTCTCGAACACATGAGATCGCATGGATTGCACTACCTCGGAGCTGATGCAGTTCATACGTTCGAGAACTAACCTAACCTAGGTTCGAAAACATCACCCGAGTGCTCTCCCTCTCATTTTATTTTACTTTCATATTTCTGTCACTCCAACGCTGCGCTTCATGCGCATTATGCGTGGAAACGGAACGCACCCCTTGACACATACGTACACAAAACCAGTTTATTGGTCGCATATTATCTAAAATATCTTGTAAGATAATATACAACCAATAAATTGGTTTTGTGTAATACATAAAACGTAACTAGAAAGTACCCAATGATATCTTTTTGGATATTAAAAGTCATCTTTCAGGCGGACATTAGATAATCTTTTCAGTAAACAAAAACTTAACTTTTTTACCGAAAAAGTTATCCTGACTTAATTTTAAATAATAAAATGGAATACTTTAAAATAACGTTGTTCTACTTGGGTATATAAAGCCAGCAGCACACAGTGCTTGCTTTTGTGCTAGATTTTTTACTAGGTGGAAATACTCTGTTTTGATTAGTGCATTTCTATCTATCTTCAGAAATGCACCAATCAGGACAGAGCATTTCCATGCAGCAACCAATCCAGCACGAAACAAGCATCGTGTGCCGCTGGCTTAAGCGGGAAACACAGACTTTTGCATAAAGGCATAATGTACAACGCATAAGAGAATTGACCAATCAAAGTTCTTATTTCTATTGCTACGATGAAAATGAAGGATGGTCTCTGGTTGGTAATTTTCTTATGCGTGTGTATTTTGCCTTTATGCAAGAGTGTGTGCTCTCGCTTTAAGCTAGTAAGGGAATGTAGCAAAAAAAAAGAGACTAAACGTTTATTAGAGGCGCTGTTGTTGTCAAGTTGTATTCAAATTTATTTCAATACGGAAGCCCTGCATCACTCTATATTGGATTCATCTTGTTTCTTGTCGGAAATTTTTTGATACGGCCCATGATAATCCTGAAAGACAAAGAATCGTTCAATTGAGATTGGGACTAGCAAGGTTAGGTCTTAAAATATTTCTTCTTCTATGTCCTAAATGCAAGATATCCTAGAGTTGCATTCTAAAACATCTTTTTCGAGGAAAATTTTACTCTTAAATCTATAGTTCATGTTACATACACTATAGACTTATAGAGTAAAATTTTCCTCGAAAAGGACGTTTTGGGATGCAACCTAGAATGTTTTTGAGCGTGTTGAGAATTTCTCACAACGTTTTGATCGCACATTCAGAATCTAAGGGCATTTTGGGTCATTTAGTTTAGCTGTTATCATTTTGTAAATCTAAGGATCTTTCAAATTAGGATCAGTTTTTCAAGAATTCTCGTAGTTCGCATTTATTTAATTAAAATTCTTTATTTTACGTGCTAATGGGCGCATTCAGTAGAAAAAGCGCTCAGTGAGCAATCAACGATTATTGGTTCTTGCTATTAGATCCCTAAATCTAGACCAATTACATTGACAAATTATTCAACTGTTGTGCAACTGTGAGTCTGCTGAATGCAGCCATTAAAACCTGATTTTTGTATCGGAACGCTGTTCATTGCTTGCTGGCTGGCGCGAAATTTAAAATTTACGCTGCCTTTCAGCACGTAATTCGCATTTTTAATAAAAATATGAATTTAAAGTGACAAACAAAGCTTGATCAGCGATCGAAGCTGCAAGATGAAATAAATTTTCTCACGAGATCGCTCCGTCAGGTTGAAAGATTCTTCAATAAATTCACCTAAAAGGTTCTAACGCGACTAATTATGAGAAAGCAAGCTCGTAAAGTTTACTATGTTTTACTCTTATTTATTACGCGCTGTATGCCTGCGTGAAAGTTGAATTGATAAGTTTGATGATATTAACCTTTTTGACCGAACAAAACAATTCAACCGTTATCGTTTTGAATACTGTCTTTATCGAGTAAAATTGTGGTGGCGCATATATATAAAGCAACAAGTGCTTAAGTGGTTATCTTATCCTGTCAGATACAGAGACATATTTGAGGATCTCAGTTCACGTTTTACCAACGATTTATTGTCCGGTTTGAAGTGACATTAACGAGGTAACAAAATGAAAATGTCTAAAATCATTATTGATTGCGACGCTGGTACAGACGACGCGTTAGCGCTGTACCTTCTTCTAGTTGCTCACAAAGAAGGCAGGGTTTACATCGAAGCTGTAACTTGCGTTTTCGGTAACACTACCGTTGACAATGTAGTGAAAAACGTGTACAGAGTACTCGAGCTGTTCGAGGACTATGATGTAAGTCATATTATCATGCATTAAGATTCATATATAACAAATAGATTTCAAGATACGTTTTGTGTCTTCATAGGATAAACTGAACATGATGTATACCAAGTGCTATTCTTTTAGATACCAGTTTATAAAGGAGCTTACTCCCCTCTGATGAATAATAACAGTGATGGATTTTTGTCAGATAAAGATTATGTTCATGGATTAGATGGATTTGGTGATGTGTATACGAATGAGCCGGATATTAATCGCATGCGAATGGCTCATGCTGCATATGCTCTACAAAAGCATACCACAGATAATCTTAGTAATACAATATCTCTCATTATCCCATATAGTGTCAAAGTTAATGTTATTACTAAAATATTGCTGTATCTCAGTAAATTAAATTTTTTACATGGGAATATAATGTTATAGTAATTTTCTGTAGCACAGAGAATAGTATGTCAATATTATTAAAACATTAACTTAAGATAGTTATATTTTGATAAATATCGAAATGATATTTAATATATATCACAATCTTGAATTAATTAAGAAAACTTTGTATTGATATTTTAGTTTAAGGTTTATCAAAGCCTGATCTACAATGTACTCTTTGCTCGTTGTTTCTTGTTCTCTATCTTTTCCTGACTAAACATTTGATATTTAAGCCAGAAAGTGATGAAAAGAAAGAAACAGGAGCACATTGTAGCTAAAAGTGAAACATTTTAAGATTGATAACATTGCTATCAACTTTAGTAACGTAAAAGTTTCTTAAGTTTAATGTTGATGTAATATTTTTGTGTTATGGAATAGTTATATACATAGTTACATCATATGTACTAATTTGATGCTTCTCAATTAAGATGACATCAGCATTGTTTGCCTGGGCCCTCTAACAAATATTGCGTTGACTATAAAACTGTACCCAGATTTTGCCAGCAACATAAAGGATATCTTTATAATGGGTGGAAACTGTACTGGTAACTTTATAACTTTTAACAATTATTTATGTTAATTAATTAAGTTAGTCGGTCAGCGTTTAATTCTGCCTCACAAATGTGATTTAAGGTCACGGTAATATTAAGTCGCATGCAGAATTTAATTTCTACTGTGATCCAGAGAGCGCGTCCATCGTGCTCAACAACATCTCTAAGCCTATCTATATGTTGCCGTGGGAAACCTGCTTGAAATCTCGTATAACAGATGTATGTAACAAACTTGCAATATTGCATACTTGAAAAATAATCAATATCTTATCGGTACATTGACAGAGAAGTAACGTTATCAATTGATCAGTAATGCCACTAATTAACAATTATTACATCAGCAGATTTTATGATTGTAATAAATTTTTCAGGATTGGCGCTGGAAAACACTGGGATCAATAAATACACCTTTTGTGGAAATGTTGAACAAAATCGAAGAAGGGTGTCTACGTATTAAGAAAGAGAAGAAAACACAATATTACGTGGTGTGTGATGCGATCTTAGCTGGGATTGTTTTGAGACCTGAAATGGCCAGGAATACTTACTCGCGTTATGTGGATGTTGAATTAAATGGCAGCAAAACTCGGGGCCAGGTTGTCATTGATCATCTACAAGAACGGAAGGCAAACGTATTCTTGATCGATGACTTCGATTCAGAAATATTAAAAGAACTATTACATTTTGTAGCAAATCCGGACGAAAAAAACAATGAAGTCCTATTTCCACAAATTTTAACAACTCCTACAAGTCATGTACTATTAAATAGAGATCAAAGTGAAGATAGTGTGTATGACCAATTGGAAGTTGATTTATTGTAAAATGATCGATTGATTAAATGAAAGATTTCATAATTGTGTAAAAGAGTGAAATATATATTCAATGAATATTTTTGGTATATAATGATTGTATTTCTTGGTTTCTAAATTTATGTAAAAGCGTCTTCTGTACTTTTTCAATGATAAGTGCTATACTAAATACAAGTATATAAAAAAGTATAAGTTTCTAATAATCTTATTATTCCTAATAAAAATAAATTATTAATGTTGCAATTATTTATACAATATTTTGAGAAGCACACACACATTAATCAATCATTACGTGACAATATCTTGTCAACAATCAAATTAGTATATAGATCTATCGTTAAAAAATCGGTTTATTATTGTTATAAATCTGACATTAAAATATTTCTTTAGAAATGGTTATCACAAAAAATAAAGAATAAGCAGGCCGCAGATAAATTAAAACTGGGAGGAAGCAGGCAGAAAAAAATATTCCTGCGTGAAACTCAGGGATTTAACTTTGACATTACAAGATTGAAGAAAACAATATGGATCTAATGACTTTGGTGCCCGATTTCAAGATCGTGCCCAACAGTCGTGTACGTGAGCGTTATTTAAGATATTGTATAGAAATCAATGCTGTGGAAATAACAAAATGAGGAAAAGTATATTTATATAAAAAATAATTTTTTTTATAAACTAGACATTACTTAGCTGCAAACATCACATGGCTTTCGTCCAAGCTGTTTTGCTTATTTAATAACGTTCAATCATTTATGCAGCGTTCACCGCGCGTGAAACATGTCTGCGAGATACCGACAGAAGAAAATCCAGTGACCATGCTGATACCTGGGAGCTCCGCCTGGTCGAGACTGCGACGTTGGTTCCTGAGCACGCGGATAGCGTACCGCAGACATCCATTCACGCGATGGTGTCTGAAGAGCAACAAGGCACTCCATTATGAGATCAGTCGGCATATCCAATCCTACCCTTACATGATTCATCCTTTTAGTTCATTTAGGTTGGTTCCTACAAGAAGTAATGTTGTGTTAGAGTTGAGTTTCTCTTTATACGTTTCATGATAAAAGAACTTTGCGTTGTCTTATATCTGCAGTCTCTCTCTCTCTCTCTCGCCCCCTCTCCCTCTCTCTTTCTCCACTCTTGCAGCGAAATTAAATTGCTATAATTCGTACATGTAGAATAATATGGGAGACCGTGATGATGCTGTTCATCGTAGTGACTCTGATAGTCACACCGATCCTCCTCACCTTTTACTTCGAGAACCACGAGAAATGGTACATCAATCACACGATAAACGCCGTGTTCATGTGCGAGATAACGATACGGTTTTTCACCGGTTATTATGATTACCAAACACAATCGATAGTCTTAGATCCGAAAATCGTAGCGAGGTATGCAAAAGTAGCCTAAAGAATAAAGTTAGTCTAAAGTGATAAAAAATATTCGTTGAAATCGACTGCTTATGATTCATACTTTAAAGAGAAAAGATATAAATTATGTTACGTGAAACTTTTTTCCCATATAGTTCTCTGTAATAAACATACGTTGCAGAGCTTTTCCTTCTATATAATCGATTTTCCCCTTAAAAACTTTTTTAAATCTACACTATTGTAACTATAAAACATAAAAATCGATATTTTTTTATTGAAAATGTGAAGATTATGTATAGGTATGGATAAAATCAACTTTTTCGTTATACAAAACGTGAGACAAACAAACAATATTATTCCAATTCGTAGTAAGTACCTACGAGGATTTTTCGTCCTGGATATATTAGTCGTGTTACCGTTGGAGTTCCTTGCCACCACACCTGAGTCGATATGGTACCTAAGGTCACTGAACTTGCTGAAGATACTATGGCTACGAATCGTGCTCGTTTATTCACGCAGACTCTACTACGTGCGTTCATGGGCTCGTAGTTACTTTTTCCTCTTTACGGACAGAACTGATCATATAAAAATTAACATTGACAAATTGCAGATGTACAAAATCAACTTTCACCTGTATAAAATCGCGGAGATGAGCGTTATTCTCGTCGTGTACGTGCACTGGGTCGCCTGCCTCGAGTATTATCTACCGTTGGTCGTCGCCAAGGTAGCTGGACCAGATAAGGAGTTAGTAAATTGATGAAAAGCGCGAGCGAATCGGCCGAGAACGACGGTAATGAGGAAAATATCGTGATTACAGGTCATGGATTCGATCGTCTTACATGCAGGACAGGAAAACTATATTCCGGATCTACCTAGCATGCATGCATAGAGCTCTCATCGCACTGGCCAGTTCCGCGCATTACTTAAACATGAAGGCAACGGAGGACATATTGTACAACTTGATTCTCACTATTCTCGGTTTCCTCGGCTTTGTTTATCTGCTAGGTAAACGAATAATAATTAAAATAATACTTAAATATATTTAATGAATATAATAAATATATTTAATAAATATAATAAATATATTTAATAAATATAATAAATATATTTAATAAATATATTAAATATATAAATATTAAATATATAAATATATTTAATATTAAATATATAAATATATTTAATAAATATATTAAATATATTTAATAAATATAATAAAAATATATTAAATATATTTAATATAAGAAACTTTTAATCAATATCTAGTCTCGTTTTTCGAATTTTTGGTCGCAGCGCGGTTTTCGCAGATACTGACGACGTTTCATTCCACCAGCAAGAGGCACTTGAAGTTGACGCAACAGTTGCAACAGTACATGAGACACAAGGAACTTCCACATTTCCTGCAGCGACGTTTGCTGACGTACTACAACTACCATAACAAAAGAGGACTCGAGAGGGACAAACACATCATGAAATACGTGTCGCCTTATTTGCGAGAGGTGTATTTAAGGAAGCATCTCACGCTCTTTATAGTTTTTTTGATTAGTTGATGCATATGTGTGTGTATAATGTAGAATAACTTAATAATATAATATTGTTTTAAGTTATTCTATACGTTATCATATTATCAGAATAATGATTTATTACACCCTACATAGTGTGTAGATGATACCGTACGTTTAATTTTTGACGGTTTCAGAAACTTCTTTTGCATAACTATATGAAGCTACTCAACAATGTAGAGTTGTTTAAACACCTGCCGCAAATAGTAGTGACACAATTGGCCGACGTGCTGCATTCGGAGATTTTTATAACGAATGACGTGTTGATCAGAGCTGGTACACGCGGCGACGCGTTATACATTATCGCCTCCGGCACCGTGGCAGTCTTTAATAATATAGGAAAGGAGGTAAAAAATCAAATGATACTTCCTCGTTCAAGCCCGCACTTCACTAAATTTAACACAAGGCGCTTGTGTTTTGATACATGTCCGTTTCAAAGGAGGGTATAACTTTTATAAGGGGGTTCCGCGACCGCGCGCTCGGGGATCATTTTATATTTATATTTTCTTATGTATTTTTTTTCGTTGAAACTAAAAATCATTAGTATAACAATGCCAGACTTAAGGAAAAAAAAAATATATATATATATCTTTTTTTCTTTAAATCTGGCGTTGTTATACTGATGATTTTCGGTTTCTACGAGAAAAAATACATAAAATATAACTATAAAACGATTCGCGGTCACGGAATCCCCTATAAAGATTATACCCTCCTTTGACTTAACATCTGATTATTGTCAAATAATTGATTGTTTACTAAAATACCTCTTATTTGCCATATCCTTTTGGAATTAAATTAAAATAGATTAAACGCTAAATCTAAAGCAAGGAAGTAACGCTAACTTTCAATATCGTGACAAATTCAGTAAAGTGTAGCTTTTTCAAACCCATTCAATTATTCACTGAATGTTCCATGATGAACACAGATCTGCCACTTGGAGGATGGCGCGTATTTCGGCGAGATAGCGTTGGTGATGGAAGACGAGTGGAGGATCGCCAGCGTTGTCGCTGTGGAGAACTGCGAGGTCCATGTCCTGTCGCGCGTCAACTTCCAACGCATCCTAACGCCGTATCCCGATCTGCTGACTCATCTGCAAAACGTCGCGCTCGCGTTTCTGGAACAAACTCTGCCACTCGAAGAGGCATACGAACTGGATTCCTCGGCATTGGCGTCCATTAAGGTTAACATCAGCAGTATAAAGACCAAGAGGAGGGACTGAATCGGCGAGCAAGGTAAAGTAGATGCAATTACTCTGATAACTCGATGTCTTCGCGAGACTCCTTTTAATCATCTGCCAAAAGTAAACTTAGTTAATTACTTGATATCGCACACGTGATCCTATTGGAAAGATTAAAAAGTTTCGTTAGAAATGAAGTATTCAAAACGAGGTGATTCTAATCGTGCCATTTGGTGCGTATTCTTCACCTTTTATTCGTCCCGTAAATATTTCATTTATATCTTTCATATTTTTTCAACTATTAACTATAACGATGTTTTCACGTCATTTTATCTAATGGACTGAAAAGTGTGTCATTTATATAATTAACAATCGAGACAACGAAATGATTCAACAGAATCGTCAAACTCTCAGCATAATTGTAACAAATCAACGACTAACAATAATAAACGTTCCGTTCAGATGTTCGAGCGATCACGTTTCCCACTAAACGCACGCCATAACATAACAATTATCTAAAATTAAAAATCTAAGAAGGACAAAAGAGCCAGAAATGCAGGTGTTGTGCGCTTTAATTACATAAAATTATAGATGTAATTAAATTATAGCGCATAACACCTGTATCTTTGGCTCTTTTGTCCTTCTTAGATTTTTAATTTTCTTTAAATTTTAGAGCCGACATAACTTCTCGTTATATAACAATTATCAATTAGTTTCAAATGCAACTATCAGTGCAACTGTCGCTGTAGAATGCCCTCCTCGTTTTAAATTAGAATAACTGTCTTCCGCCTCGTTCATCTGCGACGCCTGGATCGTTTTACATTCGGCGGAAGTGGTTCGCGTCAGAAGTGGCGGGCTCGTCTCCTCTGCGGGTTCCTGTACGACTGTTGGTATACAGACATAAGGCGCCAGTGCTCCGGATAATCGGCGTCCCGACAGCCATTGACTACACTGAACGGCGGCGTCAAGGTGTCGATGCAGAAGGCTCTCCTGGCGAACGGCGTTCGCGGCCTCGGCACCGTCATCTTGGCTGGTGGCAGGCCGTTCCTGCGGACGTCGTCGCACTTCCTTTCGGTGCCCAACGCGATCCCCACGGCGGACTTGATCAGTCGCGGGTCCCGTTGTTTCTTCTCCTCCTCCGACACGCAAGCGGCGCACCTGCGCTCGGTGATCCGCAGCACGGAATTCGCCCTTGCGGGCTTCCTACCTCGCGCAAGTTCCGCGACCTCTGCCACTGCGATTGACTCCATGCCGTCGCAGAGACACTCGCAGCAGCATCGATCCCTCGACTTCGAGTTTGTCTGTGGTTTTTCCTTCTCGGCCGCGCAACCGCACTTGCCGTGGTCGCCCTCTTCTTGGCTATGAGCCAGGAGCTCGCGGTTCTTCGGTACCGGCGTGTGCTGGATCAGAGCGAAGATCGCCGGCGCCGAGCCGCCCTCGGAACCGTCGATGTGCGTCGACCGGCGTGGCTCGTACACGGGGTCGACCGGAGTTTCCCAGCAAATCGCCAAGTCCATCCTGGTCTTCGGCTCCTTGTAGCCGAGCGCGGGTGCGAAGCGATCTCGTCTCGTCAGGATGTTCGCTTGTTTTCGATACTTCGCTTCGCAGGTGGCCGAGCAAGCACGATGTTTGTGCGCAGCAACCGTCATATTCTTGAACACGCGGTCGTCCACCTTATCCGGGAGCGGCTGATGCTGCAGGTTCTCTGCGTGCAGCCTCTTCGCCAAAGCGAACTTGTCGTAACACGAGTTGGTCTCAATTGCTTCGCCTGATTCTTCCTCTTTCTCTCTCTCGTCTTCGTCGTCGGACCTCCTTCGAGACTTCGGGCATCCTGACGTGTGTTTCCTCAAGCAGCGCGAACTCCTCGAGTTCGCGGAGCCGCGTCCGCATTGGCAGCATCCGCGAGGTTCGTTGGCCGTAAGAGCGATCGATTTATCGCGGCACTCGTGCGACTCCATGTTACTCGCAGTCGTTTTCTCAGGCGTTGCGAAGATCACGTTCACCCACGAAGAGACGTGGACGTAGGAAGATCTCGTAGACTTTCCATAGCTGATCAAGCAACTGAATTCTTTATTAACGTGTATTCACGAGCGACGATCTTCTTCAGTACATAATAAGGCAAGTTATTCAAACTTCAGAATCGCTCGTTTCAATTCTACTTGCGTCTTCCATTGAGAATTCTTCGTCCATTCTTCTTCTTACTCGAACATTCACAGGTTCCTTCGTATCTTGACCCGTCAAAGATGACTAAGACGAGTGATACTTGTTTTTTTTTTCGTTATACACACTCTAGAACGACTATTTCGCGCTTTTCCTTTCTCCGCCGGCGATATTCCTCATGGTCGCTCGCAGACAACAGCATCTCGCGTAATCGAATTCCGAGCGGTATCGTTGTACTTCATTATCGGTCTCCAGGCCGTATTAGATTAAAGTTAATAGTTGTCGACGTTCGTGCAGTCCCTCCGCCGAGATAAAACGCTGACTTGAGGTACTTGATCATCTTGCCCGTCACCTGAAACGTACACACGACTGTTAATGAATTAACAGATCGAGAAGAGATTCTCAGAAACGCGAGCGAAATGATTTCATCTCTCGATGGGGCCCGCCACCAGTCGAGTCGTTCCTCGTCTTCTGTCGGCAAATAGCCGAGGACTACCTTAGGAATGCTTAAGCCGAGTGGCGGAATTCAATGCCTCTCGGTTTCCTTGACGACATAATAATTCGATAGCGAGTTCGTTGTACATATATACAGGGTGTTTTTTTTAACTTGAGACCGCTAAATATCTCGAAAAATAAGCATTGTACGACAAAAATGTCCCAAATAAACCCTCAATAGTTTCGAGGGCGCAATTCAATCCCACAAAAATTATCCACCTCCCGCCCCCCCCTGGAGATGGGGCGGGGGTAACTTTGAAATCTTAAACGGGAACCCCTACTTTTTATTACATATTACATATTCGGATTCTACATCCAAAAACACGTAACTTTTTTTTTCTATTTCTGATAAATGGCGCTGCATTCGGCGAAAATTAGGTAACCTTCGTTTTCTTCAAAGGAAATCCCCTATAATGACGCTACGTCGAAGAAAAGTAACTTTTGTCGGAAACATGTTTTTTCGAATTATCGTAAATATCTACGATAATTTTTTATCCGTTTTAACTAAAAAATGAAAATAAAAGTTATAATCTCCAATGGCCATCTATCAGAAATAGAAAAAAAAAGTTCAGACAAAAGTTACGTGTTTTTGGATGTAGAATCCGAATCTGTAATAAAAAGTAGGGGTTCCCATTTAAGATTTCAAAGTTACCCCCCATCAGTCATCCCCAGGGGGGCGGGAGGTGGATAATTTTTGTGGGATTGAATTGCGCCCTCGAAACTATTGAGGGTTTATTTGGGACATTTTTGTCGTACAATGCTTATTTTTCGAGATATTTAGCAGTCTCAAGTTAAAAAAAACACCCTGTATATATCACACGCTTCATACACTGAGAGAAATTATCCGCTAAAAAATTAACAAACAGATATTTCCGATCAAATTCCGATCGACTTTTACATCCGATCAGGCTATTCGATTAAATTTGATTGAATACTCCTGATCATAATGATATTTCGTCGGATCAATAGATCAAAGAATTAAAAAGCCGATATTACTCATCGGATGTTTCCTGACCGCATAAAAGAATTGAACGGTATTCAATCGGAAATATCCCTTTAATTTTTCATTGGATGATTTCTCTTAGTATAGACGAGTCCGGTTTTTCACAGACAACAACACATGCGAGTAGTGGATGATTATATCGTTCTAGGGAACGAGCTTGAGCGAAAATAGGTAACGAGGGATTACGCGTAAGGAAAGTCGCGCGCTGGGGATTTTGCCGAGGCATAATTCCGATCGCATTACCGGGAAGAGTTTCGCGGTATCGTTCTGGGTCATACGCGGACGTCACGTACCGTAAAACACCGGGAAAGGTAGGGGAACACCGATGATGACTCGTCACTCCTGCGTGCGACTCGGAATCATTGCATACATTACTTTCAGCCGACTAAGATGCGATCGCGCAGCGTGCACCCCCTCATGAATATCTCGTGTGACATAATCACGCGAGTACACGCAGAAAGAATTACGCGCCGCTTCCCTTATCGCACTTGCCTATTAAAGCCGAGAAAGAAGAAAAAAAAAAAAGAGAGAAATCAACGTAGACCGTCGCATTATTTATAGCGGCGAATCCGCGAACGACGCTCTTCTGGACCATTGCCATTCTCCCTTCCACAGGACATTTCGCGGGAAGACCTTGGAAACGCGATTGAGATCCACGGCTTTATGTACGAGACCACGTGCTGACTGCACGCAACTACACGGTCGTGAAGTCTTACTCTCGTTCGATTGCCTTTCCCACCTCCTGAATATTCTGCTATGATTATGCATGTGACGGTATCTGTAACGCCCCTCGGGGGCGTTAGAACAAAGACAGTACAATCCAGATGTGTGGTCGAGCAACGTGCGTGTGTGTGCATGAGCAAAGTCGTCGAAACTTTACGGAGTACCGCGAATTTATTCCGATTTGCCGTACAGAGAAACTGCGGAGAATTCTTGATATTAAAAGAGATAGAAAAATCAAAGTATTCATACCGATTGTTACTCGAGATCGCAAGTATATTCCATACAAGATAGCGCAAGCAGTAATCACGAGTCTTAATTCACTGTCATAAATGCTCTATTAATTAATTACGGTAACTGTGTGTGTATGCGTGCATCGCAACGCAACGCAACGCAACGCAGCCTGGGAAACCACACGACTGTGACGTTAGTTAGCGGCCAGTGCGACCTCCGCCGGCGGCGTTGAATCAGCGGCAGCGTTGAAGAACATCGCGCGTGGCACTCGCGTTGGACAGTTCGCTCCGGACAAGCGAAGGGACGCTCAGTGATACTCGGTGCTCCGGCTCGAATAAGTTGAATAGTTGCTGCGTGCAGGAAACGCGAGTACAAAACGAACGACGAAAGTGGAAAACACACGTCGAAATCCCTTCACTTGATCCTTCAGTTGTCGCGGTTTCGTTTGGGACATCGTCGTTTTCGAGACATCCAAGTAAGATATCAGGATAAATCTATAATCGTTACACACCAGTTGCTAAAGCGGTTTGAAAACTTGTGAATGTGTAAGAACTTGTAAAGTAATTTCAACTTTTCTTATCTTGAGGAGTTCACTTTATTTCATTAAAATAATCTGTACATATTTACCACTGAAGAGGGTCCAAGATGAGATCAAAACAGACAAGTTTATGACAATAGTGAATCTTATTTGAATATGCTAATAAGATAAATATACATAAGTTTTTTATAGTATTAAGTTTTATAGTATTAAGGCAACCGTGTGTGTTCTTAAAGGCCCGATATTCTTTAATTTCGATTTCATCTAACATTTCCTCACTTCAGTCTTCCAGACTTAATTTTGATCCTTTGTAATATTTGCAGTTTATCACTGATCCATCACAGTCGTCGACTGCGGACAGCATGATGTCCTCCAAAATTGACGGGAGCGAGATGTTGTACATGGACGAGATTCACGACGAAGTGTCGAAGCCGTTAACTTCCGTGGACACGCACATTGTACCATACATCCGATCGCGTGCCGGCTCTCTAGGGGAGACCGAGCTGCCGAAAATCCCAGACTCGAATTTGGGACCTGAGCTCAACGATCTGAACGAGATCGACGGAAAGCCGATCGGTTTCGACGACGGATTGCTGCTGAGACGTCCATTCTCGCCGAACAACAACGTCGGAAGCCACGATTTCATCACCGAGCCGAAGCTCACGCCCGACGTAAACCTGTATCAGCACAAGAAGACAGTGGCCCAAGGCATGATGGACCTGGCACTGTTGTCTGCCAACGCGAATCAGATGCGCTACGTTCTGCAGACGGACGGCCAACATCCATACTTCTACCCGTCGCTCGCTATGATCAGTTTGAGCCTGTTCCTGCAGATCGCCGTGGGTATCGGTCTGATATGGAATAGCTACTACAATGTCAAAGAGCACGATCAGATGTGCAAAGCCAACAAAGCGAATAACTGGACAGTGATCGGTATTTTTCTCGTGACGATACTCAATGTGTTTATCTCGTCATTCGGCGTCGTTGATCAGACGTCGACGACGCCGACGACCACCGCTGTCGCGTCCGTGTAGCAGTTTTCTCATGACAATCGTGCGATCGTACATTATTTATGTGTGAGATGTTCCCAGTTTTTAACGAACGAACTTTGGGAACATCATACATAATTTCTCCTGTTGAGGCTATCTCAGACACGCTCAAGAGTGCGAGAAGTTGCTCGCACATGGTAGGATGGTATCCCGAGTACTTCATACTCGCCTTGCCTATTAGGATGCCAACCTGATTCACTTGTTATTTTTAATTTCTGCGATATATGTGAGCGTGTGTGTGTGGAAGTTACGTGCGTATTTTTATGTTATTCATTCATAGTATTTCATGGTATATGATTACACATTTGTATTTATACGGCACTTCTCACGATATACATGAAGAATAATTCTCTTAATTTGCTATATCATATAAGTTATAAGTTTATTTTTTAAGAAAATGAGACGATATAACAAGTTTAAACATGATAAATTGACGGTATCTGTTCCAGTACTTCTCTCAATTCCGCCACTAGTTGCTTCTCATGTTTTTGTCGACTTTCTTCTTCAGCGACCACACATTTGCTTATTTCATCTAACCATTTTTGCGCTTCAGTAGAGTTACATCGACATTTCTTTAAGCGTGACGGCGGATCTAATAAGGGTTTCTGCGACTCGCTAGGAAACGTTTTCCCGGACGTCTTTAGATATCTGTATCGTCCGTCAATTAAGCGACACAAATATGAAGTAAAATGTTCGAGTTCGCTTTTCATGATTTTACTGGAGTAGTGTTTCATGGTTTTTCGATGTTCTTGGGTCACGATAGCCTGTAACGCGAATCGTCGTTATCATAGAACGCTAGTGATATTGCCCAAGGTTCGATTGCGCATCAACTGAATGATAAACCAACACTTATAATTAGGTCTTCGTTTATTTTAAAAGATATTATTTGACTGTTAGTTAGCTTACCACACAGTTGATGTAGTCATAAAAATTAAAAACGCGATGAATCACCTCGGATGAGACTCAAATGCTACTCGAAATCTTTCAAAGTTTTAGCCACACTTATCATTAGAATTTCTGTCTACGTGTTTATCATGTATTTTTATATTATTTATACACATAATAGTTTCTTTTATATTATTTATACGTTATAATTTATATTATATTTTATATATTTTATATAATATTATATTTTTATATCCTGTACATATTTTGCCAAGTATCCGAGATTTCCGAGATTCTCTTTGTATGACTTGCATACAAAGACCTGTAAGTTTTTGTATGACTTAATATTTCGTGAACCCTTGAGGCATAGATTTGAGCGTCTAATACACTACACTAATATACTATAAATTCGAAGATATTTCTCATGATTTACCATCCAATCGAAGAACACGTGCCGTACTTCCAGCCACTTGACGTGAACCTCAAGCAGCTTTTGCGCATCATTAAATTCCTGCAGTTTCTTCTGATCCTCCGCGGAAGCTTTGCCGCCCAGCAACGCTATGCGTTTCGTCAACGCTATCTCGCACGCTTTCAAGTCCGGGAGATCTTGGTGTGTCGTAGATTTACGTCCAAAGTGTTCTCTGCTCGCCTCGCCTATTTTCGACGCTAATCTGCTCCATTCCCGTCTCAATTCGGAAATCTCCTTGAGGTTCATGTTCACCTTGGCGTTGAGATATGAAATTTTTTCGAGCTCGGCGGATATCGGCAAAGGCGCGCGGCTCTTCATGATACACAGTTGAATGAAAGGAAACAATTACACCATATAAAAAGTGCTAATGGCTTTGCGTGTGTAATACTCATATCGGATCGTTGCGGACGAGATATACGCTTCCGAAAGTCTCGATTTTTCGAAGTAAACTTTTATAAAATAACGCGAATCTTTTAAAATATATAAATAAAATTCACCTTTCTTTTGTAAGTAAATGAAATTTACACAAAACCGACATTGATATCAATGTGAAAAATTTGGAACTAACTTTTCGTATAGCATCGTCAAAATTGTCGGTCCGGATACTTTTAGTGAGTTTCATTCGATGAATCAAAGTCAGAACATCCTCAGTGCCCAATAGCCAAGCTAAGGCTATCAATAAGACTCTAGTTCCTCCATTGGCTTGTGGAACGTAAAATTCTAACATTGGGTATTGCAAAATTGCGAAATTCAACTTATCACTGTGACAGCTATCTACAAATACAATAATATGCGAAATAAATCCAAAGCTTTTATATAATTATAATTTAATGTAATTTCATATAGTTGTATATCTTTTTTTCTCGGGAACGTACCACTGGTGTAATAAGAGTGAAATATACTTGTTTCACTCTAACTTATTGCACCAGCATGCATTAATTCAGAGAATTCTTCGAAAATGACCAAATATTATCTTGTAAAATCATGTACTGATGTTTTAGTATCATCCCAGATAGCACAGAGAATTAAAAAAAAATTAAAAAAGAATTCAGTTGTATGTCATCATTTCTGAATTCATTTTCAGATGCAAAAAGAATTCTTCAGAGTTCAATTCAGTGAAAATTCTTTTTGCACTTAAAAATGAACTTAGAATTGGTGACATATAACTGAATTCTTTTTGAATTCTCTGTGCTATCTGGAATGTGTATTGTGATTATGACATGTAGCGTCCATGTGACATTATCAAAAATTCACAATGTGTGTTAATGAAATTAAAAAATTCGGCAAATATGCAGTATAATATTCTCATCTTGGATATTTTTTGTAAATTTGTATATTTTAGGACGTAGAATTGATTTCTGAAAGCGAAAATTGTCGCTCTTTTTCATTTTCTTGTTTCTTTTATTTTAATGTTTTATGCTATCGATAAGAGAGTAGGAAAGTGATACTTTCATTATGAAATTTTCTAACTTTGTGTCAATGTGTCTAATTATTTTAAGTCTTATAAGATAGTATATATGATTAAAGCAGAGAAAAGCATGCATGAAATATTCTCTGCTTTATAACAGAGTTTATGCTTTTGATTAAATCCAGACAACACAATCTTCACAGGATATCCTAAAAACATTTTCAGAACATTCTACATCCTGAGAACATCCTCAAGACATCCTCCAGAGATCTTGTGCTGTTTGGGTTTAATCAAAAGCATAAACTCTGTTATAAAGTAGAGAATAGTTTATGTATGCTTTTCTCTGCTTTAACCATATATACTATCTTATAAGACTTGTGTCTAAATAATTAGACACATTGACACAAAGTTAGAACGTTTTATAATAAAAGTTATCACTTTCCTAGTTACCAACATCATGAAACATTAAAATAAAAAAACAAGAAAACAAAAAATGAACGACAATTTTCGCTTTCAGAAATCAATTTTATGTGTTAAAATATATAAATTTACAAAGTTTGAAAAAAATTCAAGATGAAAGCGTTATACTGCATATTTACCAAAAATTCAGTCGTGCAAAACTGACACATTCACGTTGTTGCGAGATTAATAAGAAATTAATTTCCTTCAAATGTCACTCTTCAAATTGTCTTGCATAAAAAAGAAGAAACATTTTCTCTCAGAAAGAGACTGTATGGAGAGACTGATTCTTATATCACAGAACTGTGCAAACTGGTAATGCAGCTTTTTGCAAAGTCAGATCTAAGGAAGAAAAAGGTAAGTCGCGTCAAGATAATTTTATAATGTGAATATTTATCACCACAGATTTGCATTAATTGCAGAGCAGAGTATGTTGCAAGGTTTCACATGCACATACATAAGTCAACTGAAACGAACCATATATATCATTTCTGTTGTATCCTTTCAGTTTCACAGAGTAGTCACTCAAAATTAACAGAATATGCCGCAGCTTGCATTCCTAATAAAGAAAAAAAAAAGAGAAAAAACATGCCATATCTATCACAGATCTATCAAGTACATCACGGGAGACTGTATATTCAAATTTAATACTTACGATTTGGTAATCCACAATGTTATCATAGGCTGATATAAGATCCTTGGGCTCCAGTTCCACGTTGATTAGCGAACGCATACATTGACACAATAGCTCGAGTGCTTCGATTACATTAGGCATGGTTAACAATTATTCTCGCTTTCTTCACAGACTTCAGCAGCACTTTCTTAGGAAACACGTGTATCTTTCCAGTTCCAAATTAAACGCGTGATGTAGTACGCAGCACGCTGCAATGATGACAAATGGAGTGGCCAATCTTTCCTCCACGTGCTCTGACTTTCCCGCGCACGATGGCAGATACATAAGTGGTCTGTTCTTTCGCTCTGCACTGCTACACTGGTGCAACAAGTTAGAGAGAGATAAAAGGCCTGTTCTTTGTACATGTCTGCTGAACTAGTGCAATAAGTTAGAGTGAGAAAACATATATTTGTTTCACTTCAATATATTGCACCAGTTCAGCAGTGCAGCTATAAAGAACAGGCCTAAATATATACTTATTTCACTCTAACTTAAGGCGTTTTTTCGTTTCGTGACCACGGTAGCGTTTGGTTGGTTAGTTCGGTCCACTTAACGCTCGCAACGTGCTCGAGGCGTTGCGAGCGTTAAGTGGACCGAACTAACCAACCAAACGCTACCGTGGTCACGAAACGAAAAACACCTTTATTGCACCAGTGCAATAGTGCAGAGCGAAAGAATAGATCTATATATGTGTGCGTATACAAAATTGAAGGATCACTTTTCTCACGCAAAATAGAACTTGCTGTAATTTCCACAAGAATAATGACGCAGTTTGGGAAGAATTTTAGAGTCTGAAGTCTGTAATTTTTAGGTATGTTTCCGAAAATAACCTCTATTTTTTACGAAATTAATACGAATATAAATCAAGAACTATCAAAAAAACTTTAGAATAGCAGAGTCGGTTAGCTGAGCCCGCTAATGCCTTAGAGCATATATATAAGCTGCGTTCGAACACTGTGTGCACACTACTAGACGATAGCCGATGGAGTAAGCGAAATACAAGAGTGAGATAAAAAGAGAGGGAGAGTACTCGAGTGACGTTTTCGAACGCAGCCATATGGAGGGGGAATGCGGACACGAAAGTGTCTCCAAGTGTGTGCGAGAGAGAAACTATACGTTCCTATTCGTCCTCTGTATACATGCGTTGAAGTTGATAGGTTATGTTATAGAGTGACAGGAGATAAGTTATTTTCTTCTCATAGAGCTCTGAGAATTTTTTCAGAATTTTGTATTAACTTTCTAGTACTTCAAGAAAATGCAAGAAAACGCAAAAAAATACAGTATTAAAAATGTTAATATAAAATTCTGAAAAAATTCTGCGAGTTCTATGAGAAGAAAATAAACAATTTTTATATCTTGCTATTTTTCGGTAAAGTTGATAGAATTCAAGTAAAAAAAATATTGAAACCAATAATTTTGTAGTTCAGCAACAACTATACTTTTCTCTCTCGCACAGATCTTGGAGACACTTTTGGGGTCCTATTCTTGAAATTTTTGCGTATACGTAATTTTCATTGCGCAGCTATTTTATAGTATGATTAAACCTGCGCAGTAAAACTTACGTATACGCAACTATTTTAAGAATAAGGGCCTTGGTCTACAGGAGGCATACGCAATTCCCCCTCCATATATATATGCTCTAAGGCTAATGCTGCCTAGTGGCGCCATTTATCGGTGTATTATTGGTTCTTTTTAGCTGCACTGCTGAACTGGTGCAATAAGTTAGAATGAGAAAAAATATACTTGTCTCCAAATAAAACTCTTTTGTGTAGTTTAAAGCCAGCGGCACACCGTGCTTATTTTCGTGCTGGATTGCTTGTTGGATGGAAATACTTTGTTTTGATTGGTGCATTTCCATCCATCTTCAGAAATGCACCAATCAGCAAGCAATCTAGCATGAAAACAAGTACTGTGTGCCGCTGGCTTAAGTTGGTAAAAAAAGCTTCGAACTTTTTGATTGAAAAAAAAAAGGTTCGAGTCTAAGGCCGATATTCATAGTCAGATCTTATATTTAAGATCAACTTAAGTACTGTCCTAAGATGTCATGAACCAATCATAGAGCCATATTCGCATCTTAAGACATTACTTAAGACGATCTTGAAATAAGATTCGACTATGAATACCGGCCTTAGGCCAGATCTTATATTTAAAGGCCACTCTACAATTGCATAAGCGTGATCGTGAACATAAGAATCAACCAATTAGAGTATTTTATTTACTAATTTCTTTATTCTGATTGGTCGTAATCATCTACAACCATTTACAACCACGCTTACTCAATTATAGAATGGCCTTAAGACTGTCTTAAGTTTAACTTCAGATGTTTGTAGCCAATGAAATCATCCGTAGAGCATCTAAAGATGAACTTAAGACGTTCTTAAATATAAAATCCGATTGTAAATACCGGCCTAGGCTAAGGAATTTTTATTAATTCCAAAAGATCTGCTACGAGCCGCTAGTGTACTCAATGAAAATTCGAGATCGTAGTTTTATATCTGTATCTCATTGGTCGGATAGGCTACTTCCTAGACCCGTACATCTTTACTGTACACCTTTTATTTTCAATAAAAAAAAAAAAAAACCAGGTGTAGTTCAACTCAACGATAAATAAAACGTACATTACTTTCACGTAGTATCGTAAACATATGTAACATATACAGAGCATATAAATATGACATGTTAAAATATATCAGTTTAAAATATGATCAAAAACAATCCGAG